GAAAACATTTGTACTTATGCTCCAAGAAATTACTACTGAAATATTCATGACGACACACTTCAAATATGAATAAAAAGAACCCAAATGTCCATCAGTTGAAGACGGATAAACTGTGGCATATCTATATAGTGAAATACAATACAGCAGTAAAAATGAATAGACTTTAGCTACATCCATTATGACTTGAACAGTCATTGCTGGCTTTGAAGATGGAAGGGGACCATGAGCCAAGGAATGTGGGCAGCTTCTAGAAGCTGGAAAAGGCAAGAAGATGGATTCTCCCCTAGAGCCTCCAGAAAGGTATGCAGCCCTACGGACACCTTGCTTTCAGTCCAGTGACCTCCAGAACTATAAGGCAATAAGTCTGTGATGTTTTAAGCCATTAAGTTTGTGGTAATTTTTTATAGCAGCTATAGGAAACTAATACAGCGTATATGTGTGTAAGGTTAGAAGGGAATGGAGGTGGATAGAGACTTCCCAGGGAGGGAGGGAGGGAAAATTCACTCTCCTCACAGAGATTTGGCTTTCAGGCTTGGAGCCAGCTGTACCAGCCTTCCTCAGCAGGCTTCAATGGCCCCCCAGCATTACCTGAATACCCACAGGGGCCTGATAGCCTGCAAGGTCCTGGAGCCCTTGCTCCTCTACTGATCCCAAAGCTCCCCTGCCAGGTGGACAGGCCCCAGGCAATTGGTTCTCAACGTACAAAGGAGGAAACTGAGGCCTGGAAAAGGGAGGTATAGCCAGGAGCAGCGCTCCATCTGAGGGCAGGAAATGGCCAGATGCCACACCTGAGAACTCACGCTTCCTGTGAGGGCAGCCTGCTCCTTCCACAGACAACTCACAGCCGAACAGGCCCCTACAGGCTCCTGTCCACATCTGTGCTGAGAACGCAGCCCCATAATTGCCAGGTGTCATCATAATTGCCACCCTCCACACCCTCCCAGTCCCTCCTCCCTGGAGACAGGACCACAAGCCAAAGCCAGGGCCCACCTGACCACAATCCAGGCCCAGCCAGACTCTTGGAAGCAGAACCCTTGGGTTCCATTGGTGGCCAGGGACTTGTGTCACAATGGGGTAGGGAGGTCCTCAAGATGAGGTAGGAATGGTGAGGAGGAGCATTCTACTCCAGGGGCACAACTGGCCACAGACCCCAGGGACAGAATGGGGCAAGGCAGGTTGGGGAAACCTCTACATGAGCCAGCCCTATGCCTTTGTGCAAACTGTTCCCAGCACCTGGAGCACCTGCCCTCCCCATAAGGGCCCCACCTCCACTGAAGGATATTCTCCCATCCCTCCAGACACAACTTGCCCATCCACGTCCCCATACCTAAGGTGAGGGGATGGAGAGGAGAGTCAGAAGGGGAACAGGCCCTACCTTCAGCTGCCCCCAGAGCTGGGGGCAGAAGTGGGAGCTAAGGGCCTAGTCCTCAACAGCTTCCCTCTACCATCTCTATGCAGGACAGTTCTTTTGCTGCAGCAGAAGGGGACGAGAGAATGTAGGTCAAAGATTTGGTGGTGGGAAGTTTGGGGAGCTGGCATATGATGGCTTCTCCTTTCTCTGAAAGGAGGAGGAGAAGTCATCTGTTGGGAGGTATGCAGAGGGGAGGTTAGAAATAGCCACTGTGAGAGTTGGAAAATAAGCAGACTAGAAAAAGCTGGTAGGAATGGTAGGCGCTGTTCAAGACCCCATTGAGGCTGGTGACTGTGCATTCACAGTACAGGTTTCCTGGGTGTGTGGCCCTCAAGCAGTGACCAGCAGTCTGTGGTGCAGGGAGAGAGAAGGCAGACAATCGGGCTCATTTGCCGCTATGGTTTTGCTAGTTGGCTACAATCAAAGGGTGAAAGGGGTAAAGTATAGTGTGTTGGCCACAGAGAGAAATGATCTCTCTCTCAATAGAAATTAAAATGACGGCTTACATCCTCCAATATGAGTAGAGAGGACAGAGTTGGGGAGAAAGTAACAAGGACAACAGACCATAGGGCCCAATAAGGCTAAGGATGGTATTATGGACTGATGTTTGTGTTGTCCACGTGCCCCCTCCCACCCCGCCCCAAATTGATACGTTGAAGCCCTAACCCCCAATGTGATGTTATTCGGAGATGGGCCTTTGGGAGGTAACTTGGGTTAGATTAGGTCATGAGGGTGGAGCCCTCATGCTGGGATTAGAGGCCTTATAAGAAGAAAAGAGTGATCTCTCTCCCTCCACATGTATGCCGAGGAAAGGCCATGTGAGGGCAAGGCAAGAAGGCAGCCATCTGCAAGCCAGGAAGAGGGCCTCCACTAGAACCTGCTGGCACCCTGATCTTGGACTTCCAGACTCCAGAACTGTGAGAAAACAAATTACTGTTTTTAAGCCACCTAGGCTGTAGTACTTTGTTATTGCAGCCTGGGCAGACTAAGGCAGATGGGAATGATGGAGCAAACAAGCCAGAAGGATGGGATGCTGTGGTCAGAGAAAGGGAGGTCTGAATTAGAGATTTGTTCATTTATTCACTTATATGCCAGAAATTTTTGACATTTTAGAGGTGGAAATGAATTTTCCCAAGATGATGGGAGGAGCTAGAGTGGAAGGGACAATCAGGAACCAGGTAGTTTTAGATGAATGAGGGTGTGTGAGCTGGAGGATAGGAGGTAGGAGCAAGGAAGAGATAGGTTTCTACAAGAAGAGGTTTTTTTTTTTTTTTTTTTTTTGTGAGGAAGATTGTCCCTGAGCTAACATCTGTGCTAATCTTCCTCCATTCTGTATGTGGGATTCTGCCACAGCATGGCTTGATGAGTGGTGTGTAGGTCCATGCCCAGAATCCAAACCTGTGACCCCTGGTCCACCAAAGCGGAGCACGTGAACACAACCACTACGCCACTGGGCCGGCCCCTACAAGAGATTTTTACAGGTGGAAGAGCCGTAATGGTTGAGCAGCAGCAATGGGGAGCAAAGAGGCTCTCACCCCAGCTCCCAGGCTATGAGAGAATGCGTGAGCAGAGAAAGAGGCAGGAGATGGAGTACCCTTCTGTGAAGGGCTGAGGACACTGGGCTTCTGCTGGATTTGGAGCAGCAGCTCCAGAGACACAGGGTTGAGACCGTGGGTGGAACTGAGCGAGGATGGGGCCAGATCAGTGAGGCTTGAGTCATGGGGACAGTGTCGATGTAGAGGAGATGGCTGGGGATGTGTGGGGGCCTTAGGCTTTGGACATTGACATAGTGAACACAAGGTGTGCAGTCTAGTGGTCTTAATCTCAGAGGCCTCCCCAAGGAGGCTGGGCACTGGGCCGAGCGCCAGGGAGCTTCTCCTAGGGAGAACCAAAGGAAACTGAGAAGCTAAGCTCTTGCCCAGAGCCCAGGCCAGGGGAACACCAACCAAAGTGTCTTCATCTCCTCCCAGTTCCACTGCCATCACCCCATCTCATCATCGGAATGTTGTGAGGATGAAACGAGGTAATAAATGTTTGCAACTAATTTCATTGCTGTAATGATGCCCTGCCTGGTTTCTCTGCTTCTACTTTTGTCCTCTTCCAACACCTTCTTCAGATAGCGATTTTAAAAATACCAATCTTATTGGACTACTTCCTTGCTTAAAGAAAAAACAAAATCAGTGGCTTTTCTCGCCCTCAGAACAGAGTTCAAAATTAAGGACATGGCCTTACAAGTCCCAGCTGGGTCTGCTTCCTCAAGTTCCCAGAAATCCATCCAGCTGCAGCACCTGCCCATTGCTAGTCTTCACCCCCAAAAGTGTGTCTGCATCCTCTGCCTGCCTTCTTTTCATCTGAGCTGCAGTTCCCTCCCTAAATGTCCCTCCTCAGGGAGGCCTTCCAAGCCTCACAAGCTGGGTCAGCTGCCTTGTTTAACACCACAGTGTCCTCTCCTCTTCATCCATGGCATTCTCCCGAGGTTCTGGGGAGCAGTTTAATAGCTGCAGACGAATTGTGCATCTCTGGGTCCAGACTGTTCCCACGCTGCAGCAGGCCAGGGCAGGGCACACAGGGCCGCCCCGACAGATGAGTGCGTGACTGGGTCCACGAGGGAGGTAAAACCCAGGGGTGCTCTGTGCCTGGCAGTAATCTGGGGATGTTAGGTAGGGTGGGGGGTGGCACTCCTTTCCTATCTCCTTGGACCTTGGAGGCAGACTGCTAGAGTCCTTTGCCCTTCACACCCAGCCAGGGCATCCAAGATTAGAATCCTTGAGGATTAGTGTAAAGGGACTTACAAAATCATCCATTCTAAAAGCCACACAGGTTAGGAGTGAGCTGAGTTGGAAGCAGGAGGCTGGAGGATCTTTGAAGTGAATGCAAGACGGAAGCTTTGATTGTGACTGGACATAGAGCTTCTCTCAGCAGGATCAAATGTCGGGGCTCCCACCTTAGCCAGAGGGGCCTGGTCCAGCCACCAGAAGGAACCACAACCTTCTCCTCATCCACAGCCTTTTCATCCATTCGCCTGGATAGAATCCACAACTTCAAATTTTTTCTCCACCTACCCCCTCATACTTGGAAAGTCCCTACTTAGCTGTTCTGTTCTGGGCTTAACTGTGGTTTTTTGTGGTTTTTTTTACTTTATTTTTTTTAAATTTTTTATTTATTGAAGTAACATTGGTTTATAACATTGTATAAATTTCAGATGTACATCATTATACTTCTATTTCTGCATAGATTACATCATGTTCACCACCCAAATACTAATTACAACCCATCACCACACACATGTGCCGAATTATCCCTTTCGCCCTCCCCCCTGCCCCCTTCCCCTCTGGTAACCACCAAAGCTTGACTGTGTTTTGAGGGCAGAGGGACCCCAGATTGAGGGGGTCAGGGGAGCCATACCCCTACAAGACTATCAGAGAGCAGATGAGCCCAAGACTCTAAACCAGAACAGGGTATTGAGGGTGGGGATCTGGGGATGAGGAAGGTAATGATGCTTCTGGGATTGGGCACAGAAGCAGGTGCTGGTGCTGGGGCAGGTCACGGTGCTGCCTCCATCCATAAGGATGGTCTTGCTCACAGGTCCCAACTATTTTCAGGGTAAAATTGAGGCAGCTCCCTGCTGCTGCTGGTCTGGCTCTTGGAGACACAATCAGAAGTACGTGTTGCTCACAAAGGCCACTCCTTGGCTGGAAGTTCTTCCAGAGACCTCCATGTCCTTTTCTGAGGGTTCTGACTTCAGAGACCTGGAGGGAGCAGAAGGCTGTCACTGACTGACCAGGAATTGGTCCCATGGCAGTGTCCCTCACCATCCCCTCCCCAAATTAGGGGGAATCTAACCCAAAGCTGGTCAGATGTCTGTGGTTCCTGAGGGCCCCCTATTGGCCTCTAAACAACAATGGACAAATGGTGAGGTAGAGGCCTGGGCTTCTGGGATAGGGGCCACTGATATGAGGCCCAGGACCTGGGCTTCAGAGAAAGCAAGCAGCTCACCGCGGGTGGGGCCCTTCCTCCAGGTCCTCGATGGTGTCCTTCAGGGCCTGGCCACGTGTCTCTGGCAGCAGGAAACAGAGTAAGCCTACCACAATGGGGAGGCTGCCGTAGATGATCATAGGGACGGCCTCCTGGTAGTCACCCAGCAGGATCACGAGTGGTGTGAGGATGCCCCCGATCCTCGAGAAGATGCCCACCAGCCCCATGCCCGTCTGCCTGGGGAAAGCCAGCACAAACTGAGCAGACTCGGCCTTAATTCCGAGCTCCAGCTCCACCTCAGCACACTTCCTTGGGACAGCCCAGACCCCTCATATGGCTCCACAGTCCTGCAGGGTTTCCAGGCTCACCCAGCCCACCCTGGCTTCCAGATCTCTGCTGCTGCACACTGAATTACTTGTAGTCCAACTGTTTGTCACGCTTCTCCCACTTCCAGGCCTCTCTGTCTGCCTGCTACACTCCTGCTGGCCTAGCAAGTCTCAGGTCAAAGGCTGCACCTCCTTACCACCCTCTACCCCCACCTGAGTGTTCTTCTTCTGAGCCATTCATCTTAGACTTACTCCCTATGCCAATTCTGACACAGCCAGGGCATGGTCTACTTCTGTATCTGTCTTCCACCAGCCCGGGGACAACTTGAGGGCTAGAACTAGATTTCTAGTTGCCCTGGACCCCATCCAGCACTCCTGCCCCAGAGCCAGCCCCATAAGCTATTTGTGGAATGGTGGTGAGGACAGAGGAGGGGTGGCCAACATTAGGGTCTCAGGAGCAGAGGAGAAGGCGTTGCATCAGCAGCCCTTACCGGATGATGGTGGGGAAGAGCTCAGCAGAGTACACGTAGGAGATGGTAAATGCGGCAGCTGTGGCAAACTTCCCCACCACGGCCAGCACAGTGACCACCACAGGCAGATCTGGTGGAAGATGCTGGTCAGCCACACAAAGGGTGGACAGCCCCATCACCTGGGCCCTGCTCCCTGCCCTGTCTACCCAAACTGCTCACCCCTTCTGCACTCGAACCCCAGGGAAGCCCTCCCTCCTGAAAGGGAAGCAATGGGCCTCTGGCAGCAGGGGAATGGGGGTGGGTGGAGGTGGGGGAAAGCAAGCCCTGGTACCTGCTGGGACGAAGATGATGGCAATACACATGAGGCCACCCAGAATCAGAGTTCCCATCTGGCTCCACTTGCGGCCGAACCACTGCATCATGAAGATGCTGGAGCAGCGGGCAGGAATCTCAACTGCTCCGAAGATTAGCTGCGTCAGGTAGATGTCCAGGCCAAAGTCTCCTACTTTGAGGCCCAGGCCAAAGTACCCCAGACTGTCCACAAACCTACAAAGTGCCCAAGAGTCCCTGTCACTGCTGGGTGACACCATCACTTTCGGAGGGAGAGCCTGCCTTAGCCAGAAGTCACAACAGGAGACAGTAGCACAGCCAAGGAGAGACCCAGTCATTCCCACACAGCCCATCCCAGCCAGAGAGCCACCAACCCACATCCCACTGACACACACCAGGGAAGTGGCAGCCCTTTGGCTGCAGCCTAAGGAAGGGGCATGGGCCCTGGCGCACTCACCAGACTAAGAAGAGAATCAGGGTCATCTTCCGGAGCTGGGGGTATCTGAACAGATCCAGGGCATTCCCTGAGGGGCCTGTCTTTTCTGGGACCAGCTGGGAGGAAGATGTGGAGTGAGGGTCCAGGCAGCAAGGTCTGTGTGGGTCAGATTCAGGGGCAGGGCTGGACCCAGCCTACTGGAAGTACCTGGCTCAGGAGCTCTGGGGAGAGTTTCCGCTTGTTGACCGTGGCCGCCTTCTGGATCAGTGTTTTAGCCTCCTCTACCCTCCCCCAGGTCAGGAGCCACCGTGCTGACTCTGGTAGAACCCTGTGGGTCAGGAATGGCTGTGACCTTGGGGCATGAAGTCCTGGAGCCTTCTCACTTCCCTAGGAGCCTTCCTGGCTGTTCCAGTGCACACTGAACCCCAACTACCTGCAGGCTTCCTCTCCCGGACGTGTCTCTGAGTGTCCCATGAGGTGACCATGAGTGCTGCACTCCAACGCAACTGCAGCACATCTAACCTAGGGGTGGCTTGCTCCTGGGAGGTATCGCCTCACCAGTAGTAGAAGAAGAGCAGCAACACAGGTGAAGTGCCGGCAATCTGCAGGATCCTCCAGTTACGGATGCCATAGGCGAGTCCTGCTAGCACCATCTGCCCGACGGAGAAGGCGCACTGGCCCAGGACCACGGTGCGAGTCCTCCACGAGGGCCCCACCCACTCTGTCACTGTGTGAACAGAGAGGCTGAGACAGGGCCAGACCCCGCCCTCTCACTCCCTGTCATTCCCTAGATGCCACCCTGTCAGGGTTGGGGCCTCAGTCCCAGCACAGGGAGCACCGGTGTGACCACTCCAGGTGTAGGGCCCTGACAAGGCCCCGAGAGGCAGTCTGAGAATGTGGCCAGCCCAGACCCCAAGGCCTCGCCCTGTGGTTGAAGGCTTCAGGGCCCAGACACTCACTCAGGGTGACATTCCTAAAGGTAAATCCAGCGACGGCAGTAGCTACAGCAAAGCGCAGGATGACGTAGAGCGTAAAGGTGGGCACAAAGGCTGTGCTCAGGCCTAAGATGGCGAAGAAGAGCAGCTGCACCAGGATGGTGACCTTGCGGCCAATCCTGGGGTAACAAAGGGGCGGGTCCAGGAGGGAATCTCTCTGAGGGGAAGGAAGTAAGGGAGACCCAGCCCTGCCCTGGGCTCTCTGAGGGAGGACACATTTGAGAGGGGGGGGGAACAGGGCCTTATCCTGGAGACCAGTGTGAGGAGCACAGGGGGGAGACTCAGCCCTGTGCCAGGAGCCTAAGAGCATGCTAGGTGAGGGGTGAGCTGGTCAAGGTTCTTACCAGTCACAGAGGGGCCCAAAGATGAAAGCCCCAACGAGGAGCCCAGCCATGAAGATTGACTGCGAGGTATCGCTCAGATGCCTCCGATCACAAACCAGGTTGAACTGAGGCAGACATAGGCAGAGGTCAGTCTAAGGGCAGCTGAGGGCAAGTCCTTTGTCGTCTAGCCCACCCACTACAAACCTCTCAGGGGAGATGCCCATGGTTCCCAAACTGTGTGCCAAGGCACCCAGGGCACCAGAGTGAACTCATGGGTCACAGCATGATATTTAAAATTTTAAAGGAAAATACAGCAACACTCAACATCTGTCTGATATTACACAAACTACTGCTAGCTCAGGATAGTTCAGTTTCAACAGGAGATCATGCTACTTTCCTTTCAGTGACATCATATCTATGTGAAGTTATGTTTTTGGCAGTTGCTGTGATAAAGCAAGCACCATGTAAGAATCAACGTGGAACAGAAATTGAAGATGTCAGTGTTCAAGCATTGCGAAGTTGTGCAGTTCCCAACAGGCATATAATCCTATTAGTAATGGTATTTATTTAAGAATGAAATAAAAGTATTTTCTTTCACGTTATGTGTATTATTTTTGTAAACAGCTAATAAGCTCTTAGGACATAAATAGTTTAAGTTGTTTGGACCTAATTTACTTAATACAAAAAACAATTCCATATTTCTTTTGGCCTGGAAATGCCATGGAAAATTACTGACACACTAAGGATGCAAAGTTTAGGAACCTCTGATGGATCACTAATTGCTGCTTCCTGACAAATGGGGCCTGTTCCCCCCAGCCAGGGCCCCGCTGTGACCTACTTGGGCCTTTCGAAGTTTTCCCACTTGGCTGAAAAATCCCCCTAAAACTCTCATCATTCACAGGCAATCAGAAACCTAAGGGGCCCACACACACCCCTGGAGGAAGGAGATTAGGATGGAAGAACATGCAAATGCTCGCGCACACACACAGGGTGGCAGGCGGGGGCAACCCACCTGGAGCCTCACAGAGAGAACCTGACAGACAGACTGGGAAACCAAGTGGAGAAAATATGCGTGTCCATATAACTCTGTACACATGTCTACTGCATGCGCACATACAATAAGTACATGTGACTCACTCTGACCCCCACTGGTTTTGTGGGCCTCTCGGAGTTCTCTGCCCCCTGCACACAGCTCAGCTCCATACACAAAAGTTTGTGGGGGGAACATGACACGTGAGCTCTCCTCAGAGCTCGTGGAGATAGCTTCACAACAGTGACTAATGCCTTTTGACGGCTTACTCTGTGTTGGGTATTATGCTAAATGCTTTATACGCATTATCTCATATAATTCTGACAAGAATCCTTGACTTATTATTAGATTCCCCTAAGGGAGGGGAGGTTAAGCAGCTAAGCCTAGGTCCCACAGCTGGATAGCAGCGGAGTTCAGACATCTCTATTGTCCCAGATAGACTGAAACTGAGTGGAAGCTAAGAGACTGTTTGCTGAATGAATAAATGAACTAATACCTACAGCTAGCCAACTAACCAATCACCATCAGTTAAATAACCCTTAGCAAGAAATTAATCAATCCAGGAGATACCATTGTGCTCAGACTTCTGTTCTCAAGGACAACTGTTAATTTTTAAGAACTTTCCATATGTGTCAAATGGTTAACTGATTGCCCCTGGGAATGAAGTGGAGCAGGACAGGGGACTTGAACTTGTTTCATCCAGTTCTATCCTGTTTCGTTTTTGTTTAGCAACCGCAGATTGCCTTTGTTATTAGAGCTATTTAAAATAAATAATAATAAATAAAAGCCTGCTGGGGCCGGCCCGGTGGCGCAAGTGGTTAAGTGCGTGTGCTCAGCTGCGGTGGTCCGGGGTTTGCCGGTTCGGATCCCAGGCACACACCGACGCACCGCTTGTTAAGCCATGCTGTGGTGGCGTCCCATATAGAGTAGAGGAAGACAGGCACGGATGTTAGCCCAGGGCCAGTCTTCCTCAGCAAAAAAAAAAAAAAAAAAAAAAAAGAGGAGGATTGGCATCGGATGTTAGCTCAGGGCTGGTCTTCCTCATAAAAATAAAAATAAAAATAAATAAATAAATAAAAGCCTGCTGCTGTCAGCCTCTGGAGTCAGAATTGAGTGACTTTGTGTGACTTTGAGTCTGTCAGCCATTCTGTTGGTGTCTTGGTTTCCCATGTACAAAATGGGGATAAAATATACTACATAGTATCACCCAACAGGATTAAAGGAATTAACACATGTAACCTGCTTAGCACTGTGGCTGTGACACAGAAAGCTCTCAGTAAATGTTAGCTCAGCTCAGGGTTCACTGGCCCCTGTGCTCATGAAGCTCACAGCTGGTGACATAGCCATCTCAGACACAAGGGGCTGTAGTGTTCTGAAGGCATGGGTGCCAAGCCATGGGAGTCTTCCAAGGTTGGCACCCCTGCTCAGTGGCAACCATTCACTACCTCTCTGTAGTTTATATGCCCCTTATCTCATTAAATCATCATTCTAACTCCAGGAAGGCTCATCTTTCCCACTTATCTGTTGTGTAGCAACAGAAACTGAGGCTTGGAGAGGTGCCAAGGTGTACCCAAGCTCATATGGTGGTATCATGTTGCAGATGGAACCAAGATGAAGAGGGCTGCAACTTGGGACACCAGTCATCAACCTCCCCGGCCCTAATGCCCCCAGAGGCCCAGAGAATCCCACCTCCATTTCTTGGAGCACACCCCATGACATCTCCCTCCTCAGTTCCAAAATCTTCAATGGCTTCCTTTGGTCTCTAGGAGAAAGCATTAGAGACCAAATTCCTCAGCACAGTATCTAAGACCCTTTAAGAATTGGCTCTTGCCTCTTTCCCAACCTCTTTTTCATGTCTGCATTCCTCATACACACCAGGCATTTTCATGCCTCCAGACCCTAGAAATGGCTATTCTCTCTGCTTCCCCTTCCCTCTCAATCGCGCCCCTTCTTTGGTCCCAGGACAGACCACACTGTTGTTGCTCTTCATTGATGGGCTATTTCCCTCCCTATTCAGGGGTTCATGTGGACACGGCTGGGAGTCATTTTTTCTTTTACCAAGGATGGGCACCCAGGAAATGTTGGACAGGTGGGTTGAGAAGGAGAAATGTACTCTGCCCTTCAAGAGCACACAGCCCATAAGGAAACGTGCTCTTTTCTTCTCAAATTAGGATTGTTTGTATTTCAGTTTGATTATGAAGCTGCTGGTTATAATAAGGAAACTTGGGATGGAGCTCAGAGAGGGTCTTCTGAGTCAGTGTGGCAGAGCCCCTCCTCATCAACGGGAAACAGAGGAGGAGATCTCACACCAAGGTAGCTCACTCTGGAACGGAGCTTGGGGTTATCATGTGATGCACGATACCAAAGGTGCACCAAAGTACTAAAGGTGCATGTTGCCTTGGGAGTCACAGTCCTTGCGAGGGTGGAGTGGGAGGGAGCATGTCAAAGAAGGGCAAGAGGTCCAAGGCCCAACCCCAGTGCCAGCACAGTCTAGGCTGATGATTGATGATAAAGAGAGAGGACCCCACTCCTTGAGAACATCCCATTCAATTCCTATACCCCTGCCCACCACTATTCCAGGCGCAACAAATTCCTGCTGCTCCCCAGACATATCGCCTGCTTCCTGCTGCCGGGCCTTGCTTTTGCTATTCTCTGTCTACAAAGCCTTTTCCCTTTTCTCTATTAACATTCTTCTGGTACCTTGGTGCTCAACTCACATACCAACTCCTTCAGGATGTTGCCTGTCCATTCCCTCTCCAGGAGGAAGTGAATTCTAGCCTCGGGGCCCATCCAGCCCTTTCTTCCTCTGCAAGGAGCCCAGATCTTCCCCTGACCATCTGGGGTCCTTGGAGAAGGGGAACAGGGTGTCTCCCTCCTCTGACTGTTCCCTGCATAGTTTATACTCAGGGGGCTTTGGCTGAATAAAATTCTGCGGACAGTCCAGCACAGGCTGTGAACAAGGGTTAGAGTTGGCTCTGAGGAGCCAACTGAGGAAAGTTTGTGTGGGCTTTAAGGACGATGATATTTGGCCAGGTGGGCATACACACAGCATCTGAGGACCAACAAAGGCTGGAACCTACCAGGGGAGTGATGCTGCGGAGATGATAGAGAAGCCAAGGAGGGTCACACTGGGCTAGGCTGGGCTAGATCCAGAGGCTGGGAGAGTTCACAGCAACCTACTCCCCCGGTGGGGTAGAATGTGGTGGAGGGCCAGGAGGAAGACAGGCAGGACATATCCTCAGGCTGCCAGGGTTCTGGGGACAGGTTAATGGTTACGTATTAAAAAGTGAATGTTTGCCTTTGGTTAAAACATTGTCCTCAAAAGCCTCTAAAAAAATAAATATCTTTTTACCCATAGGGGAAAAAAAAGTGAATATTTAATCTCTGGACTCCAGATTGCCCTCTCCACAAAGGCTCAGGATTTGCCACCATAACAATGCGAGTTGCACAGATCTCCGAACAATGCCTGCCTCTCAGGTTTCTGGACTATCTGTGCTCTCTCCTGTTCCTGCAGGGATGGCCCGTTCACTGGGCAGCAGCAGCCCCAAGTGGGAGTCCCAACGCATGATCAACTCATTATGTTGTCCTGGCCAAGTCTTCTGTCCTCCCTGTGCCTCAATTCTACGATCTGGGAAGCAACAGAATGGGCCTAGATGCTTTCAGAGGGTCCTTCTTGCTCTGAAGTGGCTGGAGCGGGAATCTTTCTGTTTATCTGCCTGGGTGCCTGCTAAGAGATTGAATTTAGCAAGAGCAAATGCTCAGTTATCTATAGAACAAGTCCTAGAGTCATGGGTGTCCTCCAGCATCCCAGAGGCAGGCAGGCAGAGATCTAGAGGCTGAAAGGTAGAAAGCCCAGGTCAAGCAAGCAGGAAGGCAGAAGAGTGGACAGGGAAAGCGATAGCATAAGAGATTTAGCAAAACATGGGAAGATAGGTGAGCAGGCAGACGTGCAGGGGAGGACTGAAAGACAAAGGCAAATGGACAGACAGATGGGAGCACTGGAGAGAGGGAAAAGCACATACAGGAAAACAGGAAGGGAAAGGAAGAAAGGCAGACAACTGGGCAGACAGGCAGAGGGACAGATAAAAGGATAGGCAGAGACGAATGGACAGATGGGCAGATAGACCAGAGAGAAAATGGATAGAGAGGTAAATAGGCCAACAGGCAGAGGACAAAGAGAAAAACAGGGTGACTGGCAGAAAGAAAAACAGGCATACCAATGGTCAATCAGTCAGGCATGGGGGCACAAGGGTAGATACAGAGGCAGCAACATCAGTGACTGAGGGCAGAGGGCCAGGCAGAGGAACTGACAGACCCAAAATGGCAGACAGGCAAAAAGGCCACCCTACCTCGTTCTTTAGGGATGGGGCCCTGTTTTCAGGATAGTCCCAGCCTGCCTCGCAAGGCTGTGTCTCATTGAAGCGGTGGCTGAGGATGTCCTCCAGGCCGGCATTGTCAGCGGGTGGCTGGAACATGAGGCAGCTCTCGGGGTTACCTTCAGCATCCAGAGGCACGCTCAGTGACAGCTGCTCAGCAGCACTCAGGTTGAAAGTGTGGTTCTTGACCCAGGCCACTGAACAGTAATGGGTCTCATCCAGGACCATGAAGACCTGGGCAAACAGGTAGAAGGCATTCAGGAAGTTGGGGATACACAGCAGTATCAGCAGCTGTATCTGGAAGCGACCAAAGTCGCCTATTTCAGCCAGGACCTGGCCAAAGTGAGCCATGTCTACTGGTCACCACTTCCTCAGCCTGGGAGCACCAGACAACTCTGCAGCTTGGCTCTGGGCATCTACTCCTCTGGGCAGTGGTGACAGCTGCATTAATGTTTAATCCAGCCTTAATGTTTGCGAGTGTGGTAGGGAGAGGGGAAGGTATTCCTCAAACATTGCCTATAGGGATGCACTAGACGGTGTCTCAAATCTCTTCCAAATTTGAGAATAAATGATTCTAGTAAATAAAAACTGGGGGTAGGACTTTTGGTTTCTGGTCCAGTATGTAAGGGACTTGGAAGCTGTCATTCTGTTCTTTTTTTTTTTTTTTTTAATTTTTTATTTATTTATTTATTCTTTTCCCCCAAAGCCCCAGTAGATAGTTGTATGTCATAGTTGCACAGCCTTCTAGTTGCTGTATGTGGGACGTGGCCTCAGCATGGCCGGAGAAGCGGTGCGTCAGTGCGTGCCCGGGATCCAAACCGGACCTGCCACCAGCAGCAGAGCGTGCGCACCTAACCACTAAGCCATGGGGCCGGCCCTGTCATTCTGTTCTAATAAGTAAAAAGCTAAACAAATTGAAAAATCAACAACTCTTCTTAGATCCGTCAGAGAAGTGAGGCCACAGGGCAAACTGCTATCCCTCAAATTGGAGAGAGAGACAAGTAAATACCGAGAATTATAACTTACTGAAGAAATCCACAAACAGAAACTTCCGCAGGAACAAGTATCAGAGCAGGAAAACCTGAACTGTAACTGACAAATTGCTGGAGGCTCAGTGTGGATAAGTCTGAGTTAAAAACTCCAAAGTGGGGGGGGGGGGGGGGAGGTGGTCCCTACACTTATGAGTTTTACCTGGAGGAGTTCTACCAGGTTCTCATGGTGAATATTAGAAAAATCCCCTGTGCTTCCAGCAGGGGTTAATGAAAAGTAACCATTTTCAAATATGTAAAAGCATTCTGTTCTTCTCACCAAGGCCTGCCCTCAAAAGAAACTATTTTACCAGAGCCTAACTTGTTGGGGTTTTATCAGACCCTAAATCACCTGGGGGCAGAAAACACCCAACTATAGCCCCCTCTAGCCATCCTCTCCCACTTAAAGAGGTGGGAGGAGACTGAGAAGCGCTTGTGAAGTTCACAGCTGAGACACATGCTCACTAAAACACTGAGTCATAGGACTATAGAATGCTTCCCCTTTGCCCACACCTTACCACCATATCACTAAAAGCCTATTTACTGGAATTCCTTTTACCCAGTACATCACGTTTGGCTTTCAACAAAAAATTACAAAGCATACTAAAAGGCAAAAACACAGTTTGAAGAGACATGGCAAGCATCAGAACCAGACTCACATATGGCAGGGATGTTGGAATTATCAGAGAACTTAAAAAAACTATAAATATGCTAAGGACTAATGGAAACAGTAGACAACATGCAAGAACAGATGGGTAATGTAAGCAGAGAGATGGAAATTCTAAGATGAAGAAATGCTACAGATCAAAAACAGTCCAACAGAAAGGAAGAATGCCTTTCATGGGCTGATCAGTAGACTGGACAAAGCTGAGCAAAGAATCTCTTGAGCTTGAGTATATGTCAATAGGAACTTCCAAAACTGAAAAGCAGAGGGAAAAAAAAAAAACACAAAAAACCAGAACAAAAATATCTAAGAATTGTGGGACAAGTACAAAAGGTGTAACAGGCATAATGGGAATATCAGAAAGAGAAGAGAGAAAGGAACAGAAGAAATATTTGAAACAACAATGACTAAGAATTTCCCCCAAATTAACATTGGACACCAAACCACAGATCCAGGAAGCTCAGAGAACACCAAGCAGATAAATGCCCCCCAAAATACTACACCTAGACAAATCATGTTCAAAGTGCAGAAAACCAAAGATAAAGACAAAATCTTGAAAGAAGCCAGAGAAAGGGAAAAACCCCACCTTATCTATATGGGAGCAAATATAAGAATTACATCGATTTCTCCTCAGAAACCAGGCAGGCAAGAAGAGAGTGGAATGAAATGTTTAAAGTGCTGAGAGAAAGAAAACACCAACCTAGAATTCTATATCCTGTGAAATTATCCTTTAAAAGTGAAGGAGAAATAGGCTTTCTCAGACAAACAAAAATTGAACGAATTTGTTGCCCGTAGACCTGTCTTGCAAGTAATGTTAAAAGAACTTCTTCAGAGAGAAGGAAAAAGATGAGTCAGAAACTCAGAACTACATAAGGAAAGGAAGAACATCAGAGAAAGAATAAGTGAAGGTAAAATAAAAACTTTTATTTTTCCTTTTCTTAGTTGATCTAACAAATAAGTTTCTTCAAAGTAATAATAGCAACAATGTATTAGATTACCTATGCAAATATGTACATACACACATACATATATGTAGGTACATATATGTGTGTATACACATACATGTAATCATTACCCTTGGATTGCCCAGATATGTGATATGAATGACAGCAATGATACAAATGATACAAAAGACAAAAGGGAGGAATTAGGATTATTTTGTTATTATACTCTACTGGCACTACCTATGAAGTGGTATAATGTTCTTTGAAAATGGACTTGGATTAGTTGTAAATGTATATTGGAAGCTTAACCGCTAAAAAAAATAAAAAGAAGAAATATAACTAACATGCTAAGAAAAGAGAGAAAATGGAATCATATATAATTCTCAATTAAAACCACAAAAAGCAGAAAAAAGAGTAAAAGACTAAACTAGGAACAAGGAACAAGAAGAATGAATAGAAACAGTAACAAATATGGTAGATATTAATCCAACTACATTAATAATCACTTTAAATGTTAATGGTCTAAATTTCAAGTAAAAGAGATCGTCAGAGTGGATCAAAAAACAAGACCCAGGGCCGGCCCTGTGGCTTGGTGGTTAAGTGCGCGCGCTGCGATGCTGGTGGCCCGGGTTCGGATCCCGGGTGTGCATCGAGGCACCACTTCTCCGTTCATCCTGAGGCCGAGTCCCGCATACAGCAACTAGAAGGATGTGCAGCTATGACATACAACTATCCACTGGGGCTTTGGGGGGGAAAAATAAAATAAATAAAATCTTTAAAAAAAAAAAAAAAAAAAAACAAGACCCAACTATGTGTTGTCTACAAGAAACTCACTTTAAATATAAAGATACATATAGATTAAAAGTAAATGGATAGAGGGGCTGGCCCAGTGGCGTAGTGGTTAAGTTTGTGCGCTCTGCTTCAGCGGCCCGAGGTTCGCAGGTTCAGATCCCGGGCACAGACCTACACACTGCTCATCAAGCCACGCTGTGGCAGTGTCCCACATGCAAAGTAGGGGAAGATGGGCGAAGATGTTAGCTCAGGGCCAATCTTCCCCACCAAAAAAGAAAACAAAAAGTAAATGGATAGAGAAAGCTGTATCATGCTGACACTAACCAAAAGAAAGTGACAGTAGCTATAGTAATTTCAGACAGAGCAGACTTCAGAGCAAGAAAAGTTATGAGTGGGGCCGGCCCAGTGGCGTAGCGGTTAAGTTCGCATGCTCTGCTTTGGCGGCCTGGGGTTTGCTGGTTCGGATCCTGGGCGCGGACCTACGTACCGCTCATCAAGCCATGCTGAGGCAGCGTCCCACACAGAGCGACCAGAAGGATGCACAACTATGACATACAACTATCTACTGGGACTTTGGGGAGAAAAAAGGAAAAAAGGAGGAAGATTGGCAACAAATGTTTAGCTCAGGGCCAATCTTCCTTAAAAAAAAAGAAAAAAGTTATGAGGGATAAAGAAGGGCATTACATAATGATAAGGGGGTCAATACTCCAAGAAGACAACAATTCTTAATGTGTATTCACCTAAAAACAGAGTATCAAAATACATGAGGCAAAAACTGATAGAACTGCAAGGAGAAACAGATGAATCCACTATTATGTTTGGAGACTTCAACATCCTTCTAACAGAAATGAACAAATCAAGCAGGCAGAAAATCAGTTAAGGACACAGTTGAACTCGACAGCACCATCAATCAACTGGATATAATGCACATCTATAGACTACTTCATCCAACAACAGCAGAATACACATTCTTCTCAAGCTCACATAGAACATTCACCAAGATAGATCACATTCCGGGCTATAAAACACACCTTAATAAATTTAAAAGAACAGAAATCATACAATGTCTGCTCAGACAACAACAGAATCAAACCAGAAACGAATAACATGAAGATAGTTGGAAAATCTCAGAATACTTGGAGATTAAACAACACACTTCTCAATAACACATGGGTCCACAGAGAAACCTCCAGAGAAATTTAAAAATATTTCGAACAAAATGAAATGAAAATACAACTTATCAAAATTTGTGGGATGCAGTGAAATCAGTACTTCGAGGGAAATTTATAGCACTGAATATATATATATATATATTAGACATATAATATATATATATTTTAGAAAATATATATATTAGAAAAGAAGATCTAAAATCAATAATCTAAGCTTCCACCTTAGGAAACTAGAAAAAGAGCAAATTAAATCCAAAGGAAGCAGAAGAAAAAAAAATAGAGCAGAAATCAGTGAAACCGAAAATAGGAAAACAATGGAAAGAAAACACCACCACCAAAAGCTGGCTCTTTGAAAAGATCAATAAAATTGATAAGCTTCTATCCAGGCTAACTAAGAAAAAGAGAGAGAATACAAAAATTACGAACATCAGAAATGAAAAAGGGGACATTGTTACAGACCCCATGGACATTAAAAGGATAATAAAGGAATACTATAAACAACTCTATGCCGACAGATTTGACAACCTAGATGAAATGGGCCAATTCCTTGAAAGATACAAACCAAAACTCACATGAGAAGAAATACACAATCTGAATAGGTCTACATCAATTAAAGTTGAATCAATAACTAATAACCTTCCAAAGCAGAAAGCACCAGGCCCAGATGTGTTCACTAATGAATTGTACCAAACATTTAAGGATTATGCCAATTCTCTACAATCTCTTCCAGAAGATAGAAGCAGAGGAAATACTCATTTCTTTGAGGCTAGCATTACCCTAATACCAAAATCAGACAAAGACATTATAAGAAAAGAAAACTAGAGAGCAAGATCTCTCATGAACAAAGATGCAAAAATTCTCAACAAAATACTAGCAAAGTGAATTCAACAATGTATAAAAAGAATTACAGGGCCAGCCCCGTGGCTTAGCAGTTAAGTGCGCGTGCTCTGCTACTGGCGGCCCAGGTTCGGATCCCGGGTGCGCACCGATGCACCGCTTCTCCGGCCATGCTGAGGCTGTGTCCCACATACAGCAACTAGAAGGATGTGCATCTATGACATACAACTATCTACTGGGGCTTTGGGGAAAAAAAGGAGGAGGATTGGCAATAGATGTTAGCTCAGAGCCAGTCTTCCTCAGCAAAAAGAGGAGGATTAGCATGGATGTTCTCAGGGCTGATCTTCCTCACACACACACACAAAAAAATTACATACCACAACCTAGTGGGACTTATCCCAGGTATGCAAGGCTGGTTCAACATTTGAAAATCAATTAATGTAATCTATCGTTAAGAACAGGCTAAAGAAGAAAAATCAGATGCAGAAAAAGCATCTGACAAAATCTAATGCCCGTTCAGGATAAAAACTCTCAGCAAACTAGAAATAGAGGGTAACTTCCTCAAGTGGTAAAGAACATCTACAAAAAACCTATAGCTAACACTATACTTGCTGAAAAAATAGAAGCTTTTCCACTAAGATCAGGAACAAGGCAAGGATATCTTGTCTCACCATTGATTTTCAACATCATACTGGAGATCCTAGCTAATCCAATAATAGAAGAAAAGGAAATAAAAGGTATATAGATTGGGAAGGAAGAAAGAAAACCATCTTTTTTTGCAGATGACATGATTATCTATGTAGAAAACCCAAAAGAATTAGCAAAAATACTCCTGGAACTGGTAAGTGATTATAACAAAGTTGCAGGATATAAGGTTAATATACAAAAGGTAATCACTTTCCTATATACCAACAATGAAACAGTGAATTTGAAATGAAAAACACTATACCATTTACATTAGCATGCCAAAAATGAAATACTTAGGTACAAATCTAACAAAATAGGTACAAGATCTAAACAAGAAAAACCATAAAACTCTGACGAAAGAAATCAATGAAGAACTAAATAAATGGAGAGATATTCTACATCCATGGACAGGAAGACTCAATACTGTCAAGATGTCAGTTCTTCCCAACTTGACCAATGATTCAACACACTTCCACTCAAAATCCCAACAAGTTATTTTGTGGATATTGACAAACTGATTCTAAAGTTTATACAAAGAGGCAAAAGACCCAGAATAGCCAACATAATACTGAAGGAGAAGAACAAAGTTGGAAGACTGACAAGACCTGATGTCAAGACTTACTATAAAGCTAAAGTATTCAAGAAAGTGTGGTACTGGCAAAAGAAGAGACAAATAGATCAATGGAAGAGAATAGAGAACCTAGAAATAGACTCACAGATTCAACTGATCTTTGACAAAAGAGCAAAGGTAACACAATGGAGCAAAGACAGTCTTTTCAACAAATGGTGCTGAAACAACTGGACATGCACAGGTAAAAAAACACATCTAGACAACAGACCTTATACTCTTCACAAAAATTAACGCCAAATGGATCACAGATCTCAATGTAAAATGCAAAACTATACAACTCTTAGAAGATAGCATAGGTGAAAATCTTGATGACCTTGAGCAGGGCAATAACTTTTTAGATACAACACCAAAGGCATGATCCATGAAAGAAATAATTAATTAGCTGGACTTCATTAAAATTAAAACCTTCTGCTCTGTGAAAGACACTGTTAAGAGAATGACAAAGGCAAGCCACAGAATGGGAAAAAATATTTGCAAAAGACATATCTGATAAGGGACTGTTACCCAAAATATACAAAGAACTCTTAGAACTCAAGAAAACAAACCACCTGACTAAAATGGGCAAAAGACCTAAACAGACACCTCACTAAAGAATATATACAAGATGGGAAATAAGCATATGAAAAGATGCTCAACATCATATCATTTGGGAATTGCAAATTAAAATGAGATAACACTACACACCTATTAGAATGGCCAAAATCTAAAAAATTGACAACACCAAATGCTGGCGAGGATCTAGAGCAACGGGCACTTTCATCCACTGGTGGGAATGCAAAATGGTACAGCCACTTTGGAACACAGTGGCTTCTTAGAAAACTAGACATACTCATACCATACAACCCACAGTCAGGCTCCTTGGTATTTACCCAAAGGAGTTGAAAACTTATATCCACACAAAAATCTGCACACAGATGTTTACTGCAGCTTTATTCATAATTGTCAAAACTTGGAAGCAACCAGTAGGTGAATGGATTAATAAACTGTGGTATATCTAGACATGGAATATTACTCAGTGCTAAAAAGAAATGAGCTATCAAGCCACAAAAAGACATGGAGAGACTTTAAATGCATATTACTATGAAAGAAGCCATTCTGAAAAGGCTACATACTGCATGATTCTAACCATATAACATTCTGGAAAACAAAAAACTATAGAGACACTGAAAAGATCAGTGGTTGCCAGGGACTAGAGGGGAGGGAGGAAGGGATCAACAGGCAGAGTACAGAGGACTTTAGGGCACTGAAACTATTCTGTATGATACCATAATGATGGATATATATCATTATACATTTGTCGAAATCCATAGAACGTACACCAGCAAGAGTGAACCCCAATGTAAACTATGGACTTTGAATGATAATAACGTGCCAGTGTAGGTTCATCAATTGTAACAAATGTACCATGGAATATGGACAGTAGGGGAGGCTGTGCATGCATGGGGTCAGGGTGTCTATGGGAACTCTGTGTATTTTCTGCTCAATTTTGCTGTGAAACTAAAACTGCTCTAAAATATAGTCTATTTAAAAACAAAAACAAAAAATGTGGGGTAGATGAGCTGACCCAAAGGAGGAATACATGAACTGCTGCATTGAGCATTTCTACTATGAAGAGATAGAGCTAAGGAATAAGGCCTCTACATAAGATCTGACCTTGTTAGAGAGAATGGGCAAGTTCAGAGGCTCTATTTACTCTTGCCCCACCCCCTTCCCTCCATATACACCATGGTTACTTTTGAGTAACCAACACCTCCTCTCTGCTCCCACAAGAGTCAGAGTCCACTTTTACAACCTGCTTATCTTGAAAGCAAATTCAATGAGATAATGATGCTATCAACTCCAAGGCTCCAGGACCTGAGCTCTGAATTACCAGGACCCACAATCCACCCTGTCCTGGCTCAAAGGCCACCTTCCGCTGGGAAAGAATTATGATCAGGGAGTTTACCTATCCAGCAGGTGGAGGAATACAGATGGGCCTAGAATCTTATGGGAAACCCCACCATTTCAATATCAAAGCCAAATGGGGACAAGTTCAGCCCTGCTCTAATTTTCCAAAAGGGACTCCTAAGGGCTTTTGAATCTGGCTTCTTTCTTCTGCCCATTAGCATGAGCAGAATCAAAGAGTTAGAAAAGATCCATGCAAAGAATTCCATATCCCACCCTATCAAATTTCCTTGGGCAGCTCTTATTTCTTCTTTTTGAGATTTCAGTTTCCCCATTTGTACAATGGTTTTAAGGTGTTTTAGATAATTTGTAGATCAATACACACATTTTTTAGTTTATGTGCATTTTGACTTTTCTCTATTTGCATGAAAAATTCAAGATAGTAGTGACTCCCTGACCCACCCCCCACAGCTCCCCACCAACAGCCACTAAAGTAAAAAATCCTTACACCACCACAGACAATTTACTCTTTATTGATTAAAAATGAAGGAAACATGCAGCAAAATACAAAGTCAAAAAGGGGAGGGGAGTCAAATATTTTACATCTTCCATAATCTAGCGTACGTCATAAGGAGAAACCTCCATTTATTGATACACCATTATTCTATCTTCCAGATTATTAAATAGTTATCAGCTGGCTCTAGAATTTGGTTCAACACTTAAGCAAAAACCCAAACAAATCCATTAGTCATTTAGAAAGACCATACATTTCACAAATAGCATTGGCACATGTTACCTTGCGCTAAGTTAGTCCCTGCCCCAGGGACCAGGGGATCCTGGGGACCTAGGGACACAGGTACACCCCGAACCACCACTCCTGGAAAGGAGCGTGGTTGCTTACTAGGTCATGTGCTGTCCCACCTGGAAGTTTCTGTTCACTTATTTTCTCAGCATCACTGCACAAGTCAGCAAAGGGAGTCCACTATCCATCATGCAGAAGAAGAAATAACACTGTCCTGGGGCTTGGTGTCTGACTCCTAATTCCCAGCAGGGCAACAAATGAACTGAAAAGAAAGAGAAAGCCCCAGCCCATTTCTTTTGTCATGCCTGTCCCACTGCAGTTCAAACATCATGGCTGGCTGGAGAAACTGAACAGAGGGAACTGCTGCTTACTCCCAGCCTGGGCTCCGGACCACCTCCAAATAGAAAGCTAGAATAGAGTGATGCCACCACCCCTTGGGTTCATAAATAAGTGGATTATGATGGGCTTGTTTGAAACCAAAACAGACTCTAAGGTAAGCCATTAGTCTTGTGCCACAGGGGGCACTGTCTCTTTTTCATACCTTATTCCCATCTCCTTATCCTCATTCCCTCCACCCCCCTCCAAAAAAAAAGAAAAAGAAAAGCTGAATATTTTCCAGCAAGCTGATCAATCTTCTTTTCTCTCTCCAGGCTCAGCAGGCTTCCTCCTTTTATGAATCCTGCTGGGACCATGGACTTTGGTGTCTTTTCCTCTAATCTACTTTGTTCCCAACCCCCATCCCAAACCCATCCCCTCATCCATCCCTTTCCCAACATGCCTTTGCATCCAGGGCAGTGAAAAAAACCCATGAATAAAACTATAAGCTCCAGATGAAACAAAAACTGTGACAAGTCAGTTGTGGGGAAAGCTTTAAGAGATGCTCCAAGAGAAAGTCGAGATGAAGCAATCTTATTCACAGACCAACAACGCTGGAAAAGGCTCCATCGATTCTCTAAGACACAACTCTCCCTTTTCCACGGGGCCAAAGCCCATCTTTGTTTGTCGTCTTAAGGCCAGATTGAGTATCCCTTTCATATACAAAATTTGTTAGGGCTATGTACAGTTAGACAAAGGCTAACTGTGAAACAGTAGGAAAAAAAAAAATCAACTCCACTGATTATTCACATATTGCATTGAGTGCTCTTTTTTAAACCTAAAGAATAATTTATATTATTTCTGTAGAAAATCAAATGAACACTGTCTACTCATAAATCCTAAAAGTCACGGCACGTGTGGTTTCACTTTCCATCTTGGGTCAGGTTCAGCACACACAAGTGTGGACCCCCTCCGAAGGGTCAGTGCAGGAGAGGGGGCAGAAGGCAGGCCTGTCTGGCCCAGTGAGTCTCCTTTATTGCTGTAGAAATCTCAGCCTTGCATTTCCTCATGACTTGGAGGCCAGGCAAATTGATTTTCAAGGGAGGATCGAGGAGCAGTTTTTCTTCGATTTAATTTTTTAAGATTTGAAAATAAATACTTCCACAATGATATGAGTTATGATTTTTCCTGTTCAAAAACCACTGCTGGGAAAATTTACTTTTACAAGCCATTACTTGATGTTTTCTCTAAAAACAGTCCAAAGTTCCACTTTGAAGGATCCGACGGCTGAAGTTCGACTACAGTCAGATGTTTTGCACCAGCTGAAGTTAAGGCTAGCAACCCTTTCTGGAGGGAGTAATGAAGAGGGGTGCCTGAGAGCAGCTTCAGCAAAACGCTTAGAAACATCATGAACAGAACAAGAATATAGTTTAGGCTGCCTCCATCTGAGGCTGTGCTTTTTCCTAACAAAGGTTGCTAGAATTCACATCAGATACAAAAAAAAAAAAAAAAAAAACAATCACTAAATTAAATTCTCCTGGACTCCAGCTGAACAATCAACTTTTAATTGCTACTTCAGTGGTAAAGAGATATCCCAAGATGCCCACATCCTGTCAGGTGTGGGAGAACAGGCAGGATGAGGAAGCCCAATATAGCTGCTACTTTCCACCCAGCGCTATCATTGGAGTAAGGCAAGATGAGCTGACAGATCTCCCTCCTGGGCCTTGAGGCACATGGGCCACTTCTCTGATGGAGGAAGATAGGGGACATGTGCAGTAAGTCTACTAACAGAACTCTTTGAAGGGATGCTGGCCACTGGTGATCCAACTTTTCTTTCCGTGTGGGAAAAACGGGGAATGATGGCAGGAAAAACATAAAGAAAGACCTCTAAAGCTCCTAGCTGGGAGGTTTGTTGCTGGGTTCTTTGGCAGTAGTGGGTTTAGGCCAACAGAAGCAACAGAGATACACACGTGTGGAATCTCCTTAGGCCGCCTCTTCCAGGGCTGTGGTTTAGCTGATGCTGAGTTGGGCAAATCCTATTAGTTTACCATCATCAGGAATATCCGAGCCTTCGACACCAGATGCCTAAGAACCAAACAAAATGAGAAACTGGCTATTTATAAACAAAATTGCAGATAGCAATTAAAACTGATATAGGGATTGCGGGAAGGAAGGCAGTCGGGGACAAGTCCCTGGGATACAAACAGGAGGCAGATGAAGGTGTCTCTTCCAGAAAAGACGAGGACTAGGTACACAGCTGGAGTTAGAATGGCTAACTCCAAGGGCCTGGGGTAGAAGGCTTCCTGGGAGAGAAAGAGGGAGGCCACTCAAAGGGAGACATCAAACCAGGGTCGTGGGGAGGTTAAATGAACACAATCCACCATATTTTAATATTCTCATCACTCAGGGAATATGGAATCTGGTATGTAGAGGCTGCTGGTATGTAAAAAGTAAGATGGTTTAATAAGGAGAAAGGGATGAATACCAGTCTGAAAGTGACAGATCGATTTGACTGAGGTTCTTCCACAATTTTCTGCAAATTAGCTGCCACTGTAATCATACAAACAGAGAAAGTAATGAGAGACTAAGTATATCCACTTTCAACCATATTTTAAAAGCTTAAACGATAGTTCAGAATCTTCTATGTACAATCAAAATAGAAGCAGAAAGATAAATCACTCCCCAAACGAAAGTATCTTTTAAACTCAACTCCAAGCAGCGCAAATAAATCTTGAATCATTGTCAAACTAACTTTCTTTAAGATGCTGTATTAACTTATGAAAGACACTCAGGTGAAAGAGGTATGATTTGCCTACTCATGGGCCAGAAAGCCCTAGACTGGGAGCTGGCAAACTACGGCCTGTGGCCTGTTTCTATTCTGCCTGTGAGCTAAGAATGGTTTAAAAACGACACAGCCTGTACATGGCCCACAAAGCCTAAACTATTTACTATATGGCCCTTTACATAAAAACTTTGCTGACTTGCCCTAGACAATGTTTTTTTCTTTAGTACTATGCACCTATGGCCTGACTGTGCCTTTTCTTACTTCCTGCTTTTTTCTAGGACTAAATCTCTAATGATTTTTGCTTACCTAAATGGACTGGATATGGCCAAGCTTACTTTAACCTGTGACTTCTGTCATCACTTCTACCAGAGTCTCTCAGAGACCTGGGTGTGCTTTCACTTACTATCACCGGATGTCACAAAGCAAACTCAGAAGTGAGATTTTCTTTTGTGTAAGGAACTGTCCCCAATACCTGTCCCCAGTATTCCAGCAAAACCAAGAACGATTAGACCTGCTCAATGGAATCAAAGCCTGGTTTTCTGGGTCCTAGGTACATAGATAGAGACACGGGGACAGAAGGGCAGAGCACAAAGTAGTTACCTATTACTAAATCTCTTCCATCGACCAGCCCAGCAGAAATGAGTTCCTGAGAGACACCCTCTGCTGTATCTGCAAAGACAAAGAAGAAAGTGCTCTACTCTCGTGCGTGCATGTCACTGCTAACTCTCAGAGCGGGTGCTGGCACTGCCACACCCACGCTAACTCCAAAGAACCAAGAAGGCAGGTGGAGTCTTCCTCCTACACAAAGGCTTTTCCTACCACTGGGATTATCTCAAGTGAGGCATTCTCACAGGTGTAGCTAGAGGGCAGAATCTATATCAACCAGATGGCCAATATCAGCTCAATGTAAAGATAACTTTCTAAATAACAGTATAATTTAGATGGTTTGAGGCCCTTGTCACAAGAGTACCTGACACCAACACTACAGAGGGAACTGCTACTCCGAGTGCAACCCTGGACCCAACCCCTGTGAGCTCTGAGATATGATGAGCATGCAACATCTCCAGGGCTAATAAAACAGAATGATTTTTTTCTCAATTAAATCTTGAGAAAACAAATTGTAATATCTTCTCTTTGGGAATTACACTACATGTTTTTTATTAAAATCATTATCTTTTTTATTCTGGAGGGCTTTTCTTCATGTCTAGTTATTCCAGGTGGTACAATCTGAGCAATGGGTACAACTAGAAACTAAAGATGAGGACAGAGAATCTCCAATTAACCTCATCTCCCACTGACTCAGTGGTGCTGCTTCCCAAGGGCTGAACACTGTCCCCTCAGAGAGAACAAGAGGACCCCTGGGGGTGTGCACACACTTGTGCAGATGACCAGAAATTTGAATTAGTTCTTTAAAATGCGACTCTGCTTGGCTTATAAAAGTAAAATAGATACACCTCTGTACATGTGCATCTGCTCTCTTTAATACTTAGTTGCTGATGATACTGAGACAACAGGAAGAGACACAGGACAGAGATCTGCTGGCTGCTGGCCACTTCCCAAATCTGAACCCTGAGTAACAAAGGCGAGAGAGAAAACAAGCCTTGTCCCAGCGAAAAGTTCATGGCCAGAAACTATGCATGACAGAGTTCGGCCTCAGCCTGGGGAGAGAAGAGACTGGAAGCCTTGTTTCTTCTGTAGTCACGGAAGACAACCATGTTCAATGATAAGAGCAAGAACTTGGCACTCTGACGGATCTGGGTTTGAATTTCAGCTACACCTCTTCCCAGCTGTGTGAACTGCACCAAGTCACTTCACCTCCCTCTAAGCCTTGATTTCATCATCTATACAACGTGGATAATAATCTTTCCTTAGGAGGCTGTTTTGAGAATTTAATGAGATAAGGCTTAGCACAATGCCTGGCCTATAGTAAGCAGTAAATTAGAGCTATATTCATTACTGTTTGTACTACATTAGGTTTTCTAAATGAGGCGAGCAGTAAATAAATAGCATTTTTATTTTATTCATATGCACCCCCCTCCCCGAAACCCTTTAAACCAGAAATATTTTTATCATACTTTAAAAGCAAAATATATCTAAAGGACAAAATCTCCACAATACATTTCATTAAATAACAAATTAGAAGTTATGTTGTTTTCAATGTTTTTGATGCCTCACCTCTCCCAGGAGTAAATTCAAATCGAATATCATTTAGTTCTTTTTTTGAATTCCTATGAAAGAAAACAGAATGCATAAAATAATTTCTGAATTTATAAATACAGACTCTGCCAACATATATTTTAGGAAAGCTGTGCCTCAAGAAAGATTGTTCTGTTCCCATAGATCATATGATTTGTCCTAATGAGCTCATACTGCAGGCCTCAGAGCAAACAATTCAGTGATCTAATTGTCCTGCAACCCTTTTAACTTATGTCCTCCACTGAGCAATATAAAAATCTCATGCTTTTGAGGTGATTCTTATATGCCTACTCCTATCCTTATTACCACTAAGATGATCATATAAAACTAAGAGGGAAATCTGTCTGAGCCTAAGGAGTTATGATTAAAATGATATAGGATGCCCTTTTCATCCTTATCTCCACTCCCACCCCCATGCCCCATAGGCCTAGGAGAGCACCTTGCCTGCCACTGGTGATCAGTGTTGGCAGACTCACAGAATGAAATACTTGATGCTCCCCCAAATTCTACAGGATTTCAGAGGATGAGGATGAGGAATACATAGATTGAGATAATGAGGAAAACTTTAAAAGTAGTTTTTAGATAGGACTTAATGGATAGGTAGGATTTGGGCAGGCAGAGAAGATGGCGAAAGAAATTGGGCCCATACTGGCAGCAGACTTGATATACAACTCCAGAGAATCAACACATGACTGGTGAGGGGCAGTCAGAGCAACCACTCACCACGCTATGTGATGAGATTAACCAGGCTCCCTATAGGTTCTGGTTGAAGGAAGAGAAGTTAGAACATTATGTCTAAAGGCAGACATGCCTGATCACTTAGGACCCAAATCCACTTTATCTAAACAATGCAGAGGGCTTAGGTCTATTTGACAAATACTTGAGGGTGTTACTGAAATTGCGCTTAAAATATAGCCACCCATCTCCCACACAACCTGCCCCAAAGCAACTTTTCCCTCACATTGCTTTCTCTCTGCACTGGTATATACAGACTTACACTTCTGCATGTATACTACCTGAAATTTGTTTTTAGCTATGTTAAATACATAATACAAATCAACTTCCAACCTAGACTTGATTATCAAGTGAGGCATTTTATTTTCTCTTTTCTTGGTATCCTTCCATAATAGCTAAAAGTGCTATACATAGTCTGCTTAATACATAACTGTTCAATCTATTCTTTCTGAAAACTGAATAATTAAGACAGAATGTTCAGCATCACTTTAGTGATTTAACTGGCATGCCAAGCACAAACATCTTCAGGGACAACAATATACTAAACTGGACTAAATGTGCCTAACGTCTCTTCTAGACATTTAACTTCAAAGTCGTCTTCAGTGAGAATAAGAATCCGGCGTCCTCTTCCATAAACAAGTCTAGAACATAGTTCATTAAAAAACTACTATCTCAAAAAGCTAACTATATCACTTCGAAGTATCTTCCCCAACTTCCTGATGCACATGTCAAATAGAATTTTTATACTGTCGATTAACTGCTTTTTAAAAAGAGACAAGTGGTATTCTTTATGTACAATTAAAGTAGGATGAGAGTACTAAGGCATTCTATTAATTCAGAACTATTTGAGATGAGACAGGTATAGTGAGTAGCCTTCTGTAAACGAAAGGCAACCAAATCTGCTTTCTTCACATTTATGGCATAATTTCATTGCTCCTAGTGGTAAAATCAAAACATTCTCAAAACAGCTGCCTCTATCTCTAATTATAGTCAAACTGAGAAACAGACTAGGAATTCATATGTGGAAGGAGGAATGAGTCAATGGTAATTCAGTGGAACTCTTTTTAAAAATGTTAGTAATAATTAAAGAAGGCCTGAGCTGTCTCAGGTGATGCTTTTAATATTTATTTTTTTCAAATGCAATTATGAATAGAAAGAGACCTAATTAGAGCAATACAATAGCCTTAGCTATTCTGACAAGAAAGCTCTGGAATCCTAATCCAACTAGCTGCCAAGGGAGAGGGTTAAAATAAACATACCACCACCTGCAGCACTCCTTGTGAGTAATCTGTCAGGGCCTCTCTATATGGCCCCACCAAGAACCATCAATTTAGAACACCTGCTGTAAAGTAGCGACACAGACCAAAAACATACTTAAGAGGTTTTCCTTTCATCTTTTAAGAACAAGGCCTTTATTTGATCTATCACAATCAGAAAGTGCTCCATTCTTGAGTTAGTTGATCTCAGAGTCCATGATACTTATATGGTCATAATTATAAGACTAATCTTCAGATGAGCCAACTAGTGCGCCTCCCCTAACAACTCTTCCTCAATTAAAGACCATACTCCTAACCTAAACTAGCTATATTGCAAACACACAAATTCGTCACTATTAGTGGAGAAACAACTAAGAGAATGTGTGCATCAGTTGTAGGACCTACTAACATCCAGGTCCTCACACTGTTGCTATTATTTCTGAGGGAAATAATACACCTGCAAGCAAACAGCACTTGATACTGGGAAGACACAATCTCATCCAGTTTAAATGTCAGGCATAGACTATAAAAGGAGTAACTCGCAAAGAGAAAACAGCATATTCAAAGTATTCAGAAAAAAAAACTGGTCTACTTACCTTAATCTTAGCACTAGACTGATTGGGATCCTAGTTTCTTGTGAACCTGCTCCTGAAGACAGAGCCTAAAAAGCATCGAAAGGTATAAAGTCATTGCCTGGACTATTAAGTGTGGAGGTGATTAACGGTCATCTGCAGAGGAACTGTCTACTTGGCAGCAATTCTCTTCATCTCCAGGTGAGGTCAGACTAGTCCCTAGGACATTCCCTGCTGTGGGAGGACACACACTCCAAGGCAGCAACAAGAGCTGAATGTCAGCCTGAATCAAACAATTAGAAAGATAATTCTCAAACCCACATGAAATGCCATACAAAGCCACATTTAAATTTTGTATTTTTCAGACCCCTGCTTCTCTCTACAGGGGTGAAAATCATGAAGGTGGATTTTTCCCTTTAAAAAATATGCCAGCATACTATATATGACAACACACAGGGAGGGTCTAAACTGGCTGCCCCTTAGGAATCCACCCAACCTGGAGGTTCCAGGTCTTTTGATGGCTAAACTAACCCTCTCTGAAAACTGAACAGCTATCCTTTGCTCACTGAAGGATACATATTCTATTTAAGTTGAATTCTATTTAAGTTGAATTCATTAGAAAATGAATTCAATCTTTTCATCAGTTTTCATAAGACAACTGTATCTTTTTCCATATGATGGGCAGAAATGGAAAGCTTGGGTGATGAAAAGGTTAAACGAAGTCAGTGCCATGAATAACTAGAAGTGCTCAGAGCAGTGTTCTCCAAACACAGAATATAAGATGAACCACTAGGGTGCAAAAGAAAAAAATCAGAACTTCCAATTTTATTTCTTTCCATCTAAAATATTAGAAAAAAATGAAACCTCTAATACTTAATAAATAGATTCTGAAATCCTTGTCTTACCGTCATGGAGCAGAAAGTCACGTTGCTTACAGTATTTGAGGTTTCTTAAGGGAAGAGTGGGAGCTACACAGCATGAGGGGTTCACAGTGGAGCCCTCATTCCCTCGGCTGCTTTCAGTGCACTGTGATTTAATGAAGTTTGTGTGTGCCTCAGTAAGCGGATTTATAGATTACATTACCTAATTTTAACAAAATCAACCCTCACAAAATTTGAGAAATATCTTTAAAAGAGTAATACAGGAAAACTGTGGATTGGAGATAGTAAATAACATAAGCATAAATGAACAAAAAGAAAACAGAAGAGCTGACAACTTTCCTAGTCTCAGGATGAACTCCATCAGCTGCATTATGAAGTTAAATATAATAATGATTCAAGCTGACAAGAAATTAGCCCCATCAAAATTTTGATGTTTGGAATGTTTCCATCATTAACTTATTTTGTTGCTTAAAAACCTGTGTGGTTCTTATAGAACTCTTATCTGCACACATTTAAACCTGTGAAAACAGAATCTCTATCTTGTTTCAAAATCTACCAAGTCATCAACCATATTACATTAGGTTGTGTTCCACATTAATCTCTGCTTTTTTCATCTATCCAGAAGGCTGACCATTAAAGCATATCTTTGCTTTACCTGAGTTGTTGTTGCTGGCTCTATAGGGGGTGGGAGGGAAACTTGAGTTGGCTGTGTAGGCATCTGCCCAGCTGGCTGAGGTAGATGAGCAGAAGTCTGTTCTGGAACTTGGAGCAAAGTACCCACGGGATCGGTTGCTGGAAAGAGCTGTAACAAAGACACACAGAGTGTTGCTTAAGTTGAGTGGAAAAGAAGGCAAATCTACTGACAGGCAAGCAGAGCCTCGTGTGTGTGTGTGTGTGTGACATTTTTAAAGTAGTTTTTGTGTAGTGTCCTGGCACATCTCTACGTCTCTGAACACATCTATTCCAAATGGAAGTCAAATATTTCTAGGCTTTTTTTGTTTTTAACAACATTTTGATGCGTAATTTATATCCTGCTTAATTTGCCTAATTGTAAGTGTACAATTCAATGATTTTTAGAAAAATTATACTTGTGCAAACATCACCACAATCCAGTTTTAGAATATTTCCATTGACTCAAAAAGTTCTCAGGGCTGGCCCAGTGGCATAAGCGGTTAAGTGCTCGCGCTCTGCTGCAGTGGCCTGGGGTTCGCCGGTTCTGATCCCAGGCACACACTGACGCACCACTTGGCGAGCCATGCTGTGGAGGCGTCCCATATAAAGTGGAGGAAGATGGGCACGGATGTTAGCCCAGGGCCGGTCTTCCTCAGCAAAAAAAAAGGAGGATTGGCAGATGTTAGCACAGGGCTGATCTTCCTCACACACACACACAAAAAAAGTTCTCTTGTGCCCATTTACGGATAATTCCTGCTCTCACACCCAGCTCTAGGCAGACAATGATCTACTTTCTGTCTCTAAGAATTTGCCTTTTCTGGACATTTCATATAAACAAAATCATAGGATATACACTCTTTTGTGTCTGGCTCCTTTCACTTAGCAGTTTTTTGAGGTTTAGCCATGTTGTAGCATATACCAGTAGTTCACTTTTCTTTTCAGAATAGCAGTTCGTTGAATCATATTTATTCTTAACTACATCTATTCTATCCCACTTACCCAGCAAAAATGTACCTCCAAAATACAGATTCAAGTCTGTAATACAAAATTACAGAAGCTATATTTTTCCATGTCTGGGGACCTTCCATTACTTATAAAGACAAGCAACCAATAATTCCTTAATATATCTGAAATGCTTTTCAAAATGGATGTGAAGCTTTATAACTAACATAGACATTATATATATTATCTTGCATGTCAGAAATATTTCAAATTTTAATTATGTAGCTTGGAGAAAAAAGACTGATGTTGAGTACAATATCAAGTTAAATATATTCAAAATTATAAGTTAGTGAAAAAAATCAATGCAAAGGCTAAAATTTAGAGTTAAAAGAGAAAAAATTTTAAAGGGCAATAAAGAGGGGTCTAATAGCTGATATTATATAAGCAAATCGAGGAGACAAGGAAGTAAAATTTTATGTTCATTAAGCTTTTTACAGAGAAAATCGAAAGTCACTCACTGGTTCTTGATTTTGATAGAAAAATAGAACTTGAAGATTAGTTTTGAAAATGTTAATATAATTATTAGCACTATTTCAAAAGGGCAGTTAGCTTCCAAACTGCACACACATATATGTTCACCTATAATAAAGACAGAAAGGTTATACAAAACAAAGTAATGAGAGGATGTAGAGAAATTGGAACCTTGTGCATTGCAGGTGGGAATGTAAAACAGTTACAGCCACTATGGAAAACAGTATAATTGTTCCTCAAAAAATTAAAAATAGAATTACCATATGATCCAGCAATTCCCTTCTGAGTATAGACCCCAAAGAATCAAAATCAGGAACTCAAACAGATATTTGTACACCCATGTTTACAGCATTATTCACAATAGCCAAAAGGTGGAAGCGACCCAAGTGTCCATCGATAGACAAATAGATAAATAAATGTGGTGTATATATATATATATACACACACACACACACACAATAGAATACTGTTCAGCCTTAAAAAGAAAGGAAATTTTGATACATGTTGCAATATAGATGAACGTTGAGGACATTATGCTAAGTGAAATAAGCCAGTCACAAAAGGACAAATACTGTATGATTCCATTTATATGGGTGGTCCCTGGAGTAGTCAAATTCAGAGACAGAAAGTAGAATGGTGGTTGCTAGAGGCTGGGGGAAGGAGAGAATGTGGAGGTATTGTTTAATGGGTACAGAGTTTTAGTTTTCCAAGACGAAAAGAATTCTGGAGATGGGTGGTGGCAATGGTCGCACAACAGTGTGACTATACTTAATGCCACTGAACTGTACACTTAAAAACGGTTAAGATGGGGGCCGGCCGGGTGGCGCAGGCAGTTAAGTGCGCGCGCTCTGCTTCAGTGGCCCAGGGTTCACAGGTTCGGATCGTGGGAGCGCATCGACGCACCGCTTGTCAAGCCACGTAGTGGCGGTGTCCCATATAAAGTAGAGGAAGATGGGCATGGATGTTAGCCCAGGGCCAATCTTCCTCAGCAAAAAGAGAAGGATTGGCATTGGATGTTAGCCTAGGGCTGATATTCCTCACAAAAAAGAAAAAAAAAATGGTTAAGATGATAAATTTTAAAAAACAACAAAAAAGTAATGAGCATGAGAATATGAGTATGAACATGTGAGAGTTCTTGTGGAGATGCTATTTAGGCAAAAGACAAGGAGAAGACTAAAAAGCAAGACTCTGGATAATCTGTAAAATCCCCTCATTTAATTTCTGAGAAACTAAGAATAGTCAAGATAGGTTAAGTTAGAGAGCAACAAATAATCTTATATTCTCAGTAGGTTAAAAGAACAAAAATTATTTCTTGCACACACTTCATGTCTATCTCCGGCCAGCAGAGGCTAAGCTCATATCAGCCTCACTCAGAGATGCAGGTCATGGTGGCAGGAGCAAGGGAACCCAGAGTGGCTCTTCCTTGTGGTCACATTTCATTAGCCAAAGAAATTGCCATGGCCATGCATAACTTCAGAGGGCAGGGAAATGCAATTCTATCATGTACCAAGAAGAAGAGGAGCCAGAATCTTAGTGAACAGCAGTTCTAATATAAGTTGTCAGGTACTGGCCTGTTAATATGCTGAGGTACAGTATATATTTTCAGCCTTAAACATTACAATGCTATGTATACAAATCTTGTACACAAATTGTACACTATGTACATAAATGAAGTGAAAAAATAGTTACTCTTAAGCATAGCGGCAAGAACAAATTGGTTTAAGAGCAAGAGATGTGCACCATTAAACTAAATACTGAGCTCAGAATGCAGATACTGCCAGATGGAAGAATGTATGACAGAATGCACCCATGAAATGATTATTCTCTTCAGGTAGTGAGCATAAGGCAGGCCAGCCTAACAGGATTCTGTTTAGTAGGATTCCCTAACACACTACGGCAGTAACAGACAACAGAATCTATTTGACAAGAGAAGAGACTGGAAAAAAAAATCCAAAAAAGGAAAGGTGGCATATGACAAATTCCTGGACAGATTAATGCAAAAAAACTCCTTTCTACTTCAAGTAGCCCAAGCCAAAAACGCAATTCATAAAGTCAAGCAAGCAAATAAGAGCATTCTGGGCCCTTAGGCCAACTTTTAAAATTATGAGTGCATTGGCACCAATTTACCACAAAAGTCCATTCAAACTCAGAACTGACATCTCTGATATAAAATTGGGTATAAATTCTCATTCCCATTTAGGCACATACAAAAAAAAATGTGCTTAACATTAAAACCAAAACAAAACAAAAGCATATATACTTTAATGATTCAATAATCACAACTACTTACCTCAGAATTTGATAATGATTCTTTCACTCGGGGAGACTAAAAGAAATACAAAAAAGGAGGGTTGTTAACTCAAAACTCAGGTTACTTGTAGTCAGTTCCAAACTGCATGTAAAGTTGAAATGCAAGTCAACTCCATTTCATTCTGATCCATACATTATCTCCCCAGTAACTCTAGTGAAAGTTTTCCGGAAAATGAAAATTGTCATGTTACTACTGCATTGTTTGTCCAGGTAGCCCAAGTACATCAATGTACTTACGGTACTTTAAGAGTTCACAACTCGAGGTTTATAAGCAAACATAATGGGACTGAGTTACCAGGTAGTAGGGAGGTCACATTCTTCAAGGTACAATTCTTTCTTCTAATGATGAACATATCATGTGCGTAATATCCTAGACCCAATGCAAACCTTCAAGCTAATTATCCAACATTCTCAAAGAGAGTAATTCTGATCATAGGCTTTAAAGGAGAAAACTCTTGAGCCAAAATTGAAAAACCAATTATAATCTGCCATATGAAAATCTAAGCTAAATTTATTTAGTAAATCATAATAATTAGTAGTAATTCTGGATACAGGCACTGGAGAATACACAAAAAACTTAACATATCTTTAAACAAATATCAATTCATGGGAAATTCTACCAAGTATGGATTTAGACTACTTAAAAGGTCGACTTAGGTTCTTAAAATTTTCATCACCATTTTATTAAGGAGAATCAAGGTTCAGGTATAGCTAATGTATCACAGCAAGTATATGGCCAACCCAAAACCTTTTATTAAAAAACTTTATATTTGGAAATAATTTTAAACTTCTTAGAATAATAACAATACAAAGAGCACCAGTATATCCTTTACCCAGATTCACCATTAACCTTTTTTCCTCATCTGCTTTATTATTTAGATGCTCACTTTCTCTCTTTCTAAATATATATATTTAATCAATTATATTGTTCCTGTACCATTTGAGAACAAGTTGCATATATCATAGCTGTTTACCACTGAATAGTCACTGAGTATTTCTTAAGAATAGGGATATTCTCTCGCATAACTTCACACTACTAGTTATCAACTTCAATAAATTTAAAAACGATACAATACCTTTACCTAATTTACCATCCATAATCCAACTTTTTCAATGGACCTCATAATGTCATTTATAGCCTTTCTTTTTCTTCCAGTAAAAGACGCAGTCTAGGATCATGTACCTCAGTTAGCCGTCATGTCTCTTTAGACTTTTTATATCTGGCACATTAACATTTTTGAAGAATATAGTTACCCCTCCCACACTTTTTAATAGAATACCCCTAACTTGTGGTTTGTCTGATGTTTCCTCATGATCAGACTTATATGAATTCCCCGCTGGAATTCCACATAGTGATGTGTCCTTCCTAGGGTATCATAATCTTAGGTAATCACACGTTCACCTGCCTCTCTTTGGTGATGTTCATTTTAATCATCTAGTCAAGGCATTTTCCAATTTCTCCAGTATGTAGTAACTATTTTTCCCCTTGCAAGTGATAGGCAATCTGTGGGGAGACACTGTAAGACCATGTAAATATACTGCTCATTAAAACTTTGCCCTATATTGAGCATCACTGATGATCCGTGCCTGATCTCATCTTTATGATTACTTTATGATAGCAGTAAAATGATGATTTCCACCCCAACACTCCTCCACATTTACCTGTCAGCACTTGGCAGTTTACTGGAATGAAAAACCATCCCCTTCTCCCCCATTTGTTTATATATCTATTTATTATTGGCATGGACTCATAGATTACTTTTAAAATAGTTTATAATTTATTACTGCACTTAATGATTTTGATAGTTAAATTCTCCCTAATTTGGCCAGTGGGAGCTCCTTCAACCTGGCTCTTGTGTTATTAGGACTTTTTTTTTTAAATAAAAAGTCTTTTCTTTCTGATGAAAGAAAATATTCCAGATTCATCTTTTATTTCCCCTGTGTAAGTCCTGGAATTGGCCATTTCTCCAAGGAGCTCTTGTTCTTTTAGTAGGGAATGACATTAGAGACCAAGATCTGGGCATAAGGTGTGCTTGTTGTTATTGTTTTCCTGCCTCTTTGCACACCTGGCAATCTTTGATTGGATGCCAGGAGTTGTGAATTTTATCTTGTTGCATGCTGATAATTTTGTATTGCTATAAATCTTCTTGAGCTTTGTTCTGGAACACAGTAAAGTTACTTGGAAATGGTTTAATCCTTTTGGCTTGTTTTTATGAGCTGTTAGTTGGGTCTGGAACAGTGTTCAGTCTAGGGCTATATAATCCCCACTACTGAGACAAGACCTTTCTGAGAACTCTACCGAATGCCCATGAATTATAAGTTTCTCCAGTCTGGCTGGTGGGAATAGGTACTGTTCTTGGCTCTGTGTGAGTGCTTGGCACTGTTCTTCAGTCTCAGTTTTCTCATATGTATTCATTGATAAGTTTTCTGCTGAATACTCAAAAGGCAAGCTCTGCAAATCTCTAAGCTTCTGTCTCTGTGTAGCTCTCTCCTCCCTGTACTCTACCTTATCCATTTTATCTGCCTTGATTTCCCCAGACTCTTAGCTCTATTTCCTCAACTCAGGAAAACACTCTTCAAGCCATAATGAAGAGAATAATCAATCAAACAATACTGCCCTAGAATTGACATGGATGTTAGAATTAGCAGAGAGGGACATTAAAACAGTTATTATAACTATATTATATATCTTCAAAAAGGTAAGTGGAAGATGAAATGGAAGATGTAAAAATAAATAAATAAATAAACACACACCAATCAAACTTCTAGAGTTTTATAATGTCTGAGATAGAAAATAGATTGGATGAGATTACCAGATTAGAGACTTGCTGCAGAAGAAAAGATTAACAAACTTGAAGGCTAGCAATAGAAACTATGCAAAATGAAACTGAGAAACAAATTTTTTAAAAATGAAAAGAGAATCAGTGAGCTGTCAGACAACTTTAAGCAGCCTAATATACATGTTATTGGAGTCTCCAAGATAGAAGGAAGACAGAAAAATATTTAAAAATATAATAGCTGAAAAATTTCCAAACTTGATAAAAACTGTAAACCCACAGATCAAAGAAGCTCAATAAACCCCAAGCACAAGAAACATGAAAAAAAAAAAAAAATCTAGGCATATCATAATGAAATTACTCAAACCTATTCAAAAGCAAAAAAAAATCTTAAAAGCAGCCAGAGTAAAAACACATATGACTTATAAATGATATCAGCAGATTTCTCATTGGAAAAAATGAAAACAAGAAGATAGTTAACATCTTTAAAATACTGGAAGAAAAAGCCTATCAATCTAGAATCTATACGCAGAAAACATATCTTTTCAAAACAAAGGTGAAATAGAGACATTTTCAGACATAAAACCTTAAAGAAATCATCACCAGCAGAGCCACATTACAAAAAATGTTGAGGGAAATTCTTCAGCAGAAGGAAAATGACATAAAGATGGAAATCTGGAACCATGTAAGAGTCTTTATTATGAATATGTGAATTTTGTCAAAGGCTTTTTCAGACTGTAAGAAAATAAGGATATGATTTTTTTTTCTCCTTAGGCCTATTAATATTACAAGATTTCCTAATACTAAACCATCCTTTCACCCCACCCCTCTTGATCATGGTATATTCTTTTAATGTAGTTCAACTTAGTTTTAAAAGACTCTTTTTAAAAAAGAATTCATGGTATCAAAAATGGCTATAGGGATAACATGAGAAATACTGGATAACATGAGAAATACAGAAAGCTACTTATTCTGTGAACAAAGTATATAATTTTCTATGCTGTTTAGAAACAGCTACTATAAGTATTTCAGAACTATCAAATTTCTTATCCAGATAGCTAGGGAGTAATAATCAGACATTGAAAAGCTGTCATTTATCTTCCCAAATATTATTTGTTGGTCAGAGGAAAAAGAGCATCATCATCTCTTTTACATGAACCATGTAGCTCTAGCTTCTCCTAGTGGTTTTAATGTAACATTACAAGAGCATATCAATTCAGAGAGGAATCACACGAAAAATAAGGAAAAAAGGATGCCACAGTCTCACATCTGTAAAGAAATAAATTCACAATTGTATATAAACGAATGTTTACATTTGTTATCTTTTTAAGAACTTTTTCAAGGTTAGAGCTTAAATTTTTGCCAACTGTCATTGGCAAGGTCTTTACAAACATACAGGAAAAGGACAAACTGCAAAAGGACTAAACTCACAGACCTTATTTGATAAACAAGATCAGCAAGCATTTCAATGTTGATCAGCAAGAGTCATAAGTGCTACTGCAGAGCAGATCCTAAAAGAAGGCAGAGATACACTACCTACCCACAACTCATCCCACAAAAAGGTTCTGAGCAGTCAAGGCTATGATGACCTCAAACATTAACATTTGCTATACACATTTCTATTCTTGGGAATGAGTTCTAACAATCAACCTGAGGCATTAACTTGAGGCAAGAGTGACAAAACAAACCAAAACAAGGTCCTTATCTTCACTGCTTGTAGCATCCAGGATGCTACACACACACCATCCAGGATATACCAATTAAAGAAGAGGTACACTGCTTTTCATTAGGTAGAAGGTTAGCAGACCTCAGGGATAAAGTTTCTATTGTTAAATTTTCAAGTTCACTAATCTTTTCTTCTGCAATGTCTAATCAGCCATGAATCCTATCCAGTGTACTGTCATCTCAGACATTGTAGTTTTCATCTCTAGATTTAGGTCATTTTTATATACCCTAAATATTATCATATTTAAACATATGTGCCAGTTCACTTTGCTGTGTAGAATTAATTGGGTTCCTGTTGTTAGTAAGTTTTCAAGGAAATTCTGTCACTAACACTTGTATTTTTTATATTTTAGCTGGTTAAGCTTAACAGAACCACAGAATATAGTATTATCTTAGAGGCTTCAAACAAAAAGATAGAGCTCTAGCTAAAGCATACACTTTAACAAAACTTACCCTGAGTTGTGAAATTGCTGCTTTCCCTTCCTCACTTTCTTCATCAAATTCATCATCACTCCACTCCCAGCCACCATCCTCTGTCTTATGAAGACGGCCACTGGAACCCGGTACTCTCCGAACCTGCTCATTAGGAAGAGAGACGTGGATTATGGCAATGTTTGACATTTACTATACAACAAAGTCAATTATATTTCCTTTTCTATTACTTCAACACAGTAAGCAGATAATCATTTTCCCCATAAGCAGGTTTTCCCATACAAATTTATATCCTCCACCCCTCACTTGCTCTCTGCTCACAATCTCCACTATCTGTCTTTACTCACAACCACTGACTTTCCCTATACTTCCGTACTCTGAGCCCGAACATCACCCAAATCCTTCTTATGTGAAGTCATAGGTCAAATCTGATTAACGGTTTCACGTCTAGAGACATTTTAAAAAAAAAGTTTTCAGCCCCCCAAATAAATAAATCCAAGAAAAAGAAGATTCTGCTCTTTTTTCTTTTTAATTTTTAAAATCACAATTATACCTGCACAGTTTCAAGAATACTAAAGCTGTGCAAGTTTTGTTAAGAAAAACAGCAATCTCCTAACTTTCTCCCTCTTCCCCACAGGGAATCACTTTCAACTCATTTTAGCTTATTCTTTTGGAATTGATATTCATCTCTCTAGGTCATTATTACTATTACCCTTTGATCTTCTGGTTTTAGAACTTGTCTATTGCACTTTCCCCTATGGAAGATGAGAATTTACCCCAATTATCAACCTCCTCCTTTTGTAATATGTAATCTATGTAATAGATATATTGTAATATATCTATTACAATACAAGATATATTGTAATTCTGGTTAAATCAATATTAAGTGTTTATGTAATATGATTATATAAATGATACAACTGAGACTTACAGTATATTACAACTACTTTTCTTTCCTGTATAACATTTTTGTTTCTCCCGGAGTTAATATTGGCTTATTTCTGACAAGAAATTTTCACATATTGAGGTATATGGGATAACTATTCGGGTTCAAAACTGATTCGGCTTGAACTAAAAAGCCTGAGTTATGGCCTATTGAACATACATTGTACATCTGCTTAACCATTAAAGAATACACTCTCTTAAGATAAGAATGCATACTTCCCCTCCTACGCCCTATTGGTAATGTCCTATTGGTAATGCCCAAATTAGTCCCTTTCCTGACATCACCGTCACATTGACCTGCTAATTTGCAACTGAATACTTCTTTGAAATTTTGATAAAAATGTATCCTGGGTGTGTTTAATGTATGTTCTTCGTTCTAAAAAGATATAAGACTGTATTGAAAACCATGCTTCTCTGGAACACTTTCTAAGGTCTTCCCGGGTTATAATCCTCATTCTGGCTCAAGTAAACTCACCTTATTTCTCTTATCTATAGAATGGTCATTGGTTATTTTGCGTCGACATTTCTGTGTCCTTGTCATATTTATCCCCAAGTTCTCTCCCAGATGCGTAAATCTCCTCTTACCACATTTACATATATTAGGTATTCATCACAATCTTCTTGAGGAAGCCTCTGACCAAAGCCTCCTGACCTGCTCCACCCTAGCCTGGTTTCACTCCAGGTCTGGTACTTCAGATCTCACTCTACCATCAGCCAGAGAACCATACTTCCTGGATCACAAGACTTCCCTGTTCTTAGTTTAAGCATGTTTTCCCCTATTAGCATGGCACATTTAGTAAAGCCATGTATTTCTAAACATATCTTGATTCTAACCCCACATTTCACTTACAGTTTACCTGACAAAAAAAAGTCTAGGTTAGAAATCATTGTCTTTCATAATGTTGAACATAACTGCTCCACTGTGATCTGGCTTCCAGAAGTGCTACTGAAGTCATTATGACTCCTGATGCTGTCTGTCATCTTTCCCCACTCTCTGGAAAGCTATAGGATCTTCTTTTTGCCTCCAGCATTCTGACTGTCATGTTTATGTGCCTTAGTATTGGTCCATTTTCATTCATTGTGCTGTGTATGTGGGTTCTTTCAATCTGGAAACTCATGAGCATCAGTTTTGGAAATTTTTCTTGAATTATTTCCTCAATGATTTCCTTTCATTTGTTTTTCTCAGTTCCCCTTTTCTAGAACTTTTTTTACTCAAATGTTGAACCTTCTCAAATGATCCTTTAGTATTCTCATCTTTTCTCTCTTGCTATCTATCTCTTGGCCTTTTGGCTCTGTTTTCTGGGAAACTTCCTCAACTTTATCCTACAACCTTTGTATTGAATTTTTTCATTTCTTCTATAATGTTTTCCACTTCCAAGAGCTTTTTGTTGGTGGTAGCACCATTCTCTGAATGCCTTTTTTTTTAAGAGCTTTATTGAAATGTAATTCATATAGCACACAATTGACCCATTTAAGGTATACAATTCAATTATTTTTAGTATATTCAGAGCTGTGAAATCATTTTCACCATCAAATTTAGATCATTTTCATCACTCCCTCACTCCAAAAAAACACCCTATACCCCTTAGTAGTCACTCCCCATTTCTCTACAATCCTCCCAGTCCTAGGCAACCACTAATCTACTTTCTGTGTCTATACATTTGCCTATTCTGGACATTTCACATAAATGGAATAATACAATATGTGGTCTTTTGTAACTGGCTTCTTTCAGTTACCATGTTTCAAAGATTCATCCATGTTATGGCATGTATCAATACTTCAGTCCTTTTCATTGCCAAATAATATTCCATTGTATAGATGCACAACATTTTATATTCATTCATCAGTAAATGGACATTGAGGTTGTTTCCACTTTTTAGTTACTATGAATAATGCTGCTATGAATATTTGTGTATTTTTGTGTGTACATGTTTTCAATTCTCTTGAGTATGCCTAGGAGTGGAATTTCTGGGTCATATGGCAACTTTGTTCAGCCTTTTGAGGAACTGCCAGACTACTTTCTAAAGTGGTTGCACCATTTTACATTCTCATCAGTAGTGGGTAAGGGTTTCAATTTCTCTACATCCTTATCAACATTTGTTATTGTCTGTCTTTTTTATACAGTCATCCTAGTGGGTATGAAGTGGTATCTTTGTTGTTTTTGTATGGTGTGAGGAAAGAGACCAACTTCACAGTTCACTCTGGTAGCTGCAGTGATTTTTAATAGAGTTTAGAGTTAATTCATCAATTGTCTAATATACCTTTTCATTCTAAAAGATAGCAAGGTAATACCTAGGCATACAGTAAACTAACAAAATTTGCTGAATGAATATTTCAAAGAATGCTAAAGAACAAGTTGAAAGAAAATGAGTAATACTCATATTCTTAACAAAGTATTACTTAACATACAGGTTCAAAATGCAAAAGTAAAATCAACTCTAAGCAATTTCCCAGGAAAACTGAGTTAAATCCCCATTTACCTTTTTAGCTCTTTCAGAAATGCTTGGAGCTCTCTGCAGTAATTTTTCTTGAAGAAATTCTTTATTCTGGAGAGGAAAAATAAGTATTTTCTTCTTACAAGAAGTTTTTATTGAGTCAAAAAAACTGACACAGAAATTTCACAATTAAAATGTGATATAATAACTGTTTTATAGAAAAGTTTGAGAAAGCTTCCATTCTTTTATTCTGAAGCTCCTTTAGTACATTACTACCATAGTTTTATATATTGAGACAGGGCTTTAATGTATTGTATGAACCATTATCCATGAAAAGTTTGCTTTACTGTATGTCCTTTGGGATCATGGTCCCACATTTCCAACTACAGTAACATTCCACTTATCCAATATCTTTGGGAAACGAGATGTTTACTAATTCAGTAGTAAATCCTGAAATGAGAGTTCAGTATTTTTCACAGATTATATTTATAATGGCAAAATTTAATATTAATTGTTCCTGTTATAAGTTTAACCTGACATTTAAATTAATTTATATGAAAAATACATTTACTAATTCCAAAGTAGGTATCTTAATTACCAAAGATTGTATAGATAGTGCCTTTGGTATAATTATTTGATCTACCATCATTCTTCCAAACATAAACATCTTAAGATACTGCAACTTCTAGAGCAGTGTACCTAATTTAAGTAACTGAGGAGGATCACAGCAACACATAAAATCAAAAGTTAGAATTTCCTACCTTTGCTTTTTGGAAAAACTTGTGCCTTAACAGTTCTGCTGCTGTTGGTCTAAAACCAGAAAAGAAAGTTTTTATAGTTAATTCAGGTGTAATGTGGGTTTCTATCTTCAAAAATGAGAAAATGATTTGTTCAGCTGCAAGATAAAAATTCAGTGTACTCCACTCTCCTTAACCTGCCAAAAAGCAAAAAATAAGATAAACTCGGTACAAGACAATGAATAGAATAAAAAATCTCAATGATAATAACTATTGTAGATTCTTTGAAAAACTCATTAGTGAAATGTTTCTTTTGGATGTATGGTTTCCTAGTGGCTTCCAATATATTTGCTATTTAATATGATTTCCCAAGAAGTAGGCTAGACAGTATCTACTTTAATGAGGCATAAAAATACATTTAAACTCACAAAAAGGAAATGGACCAAATCAAGCCCTGTGCTTCTTGCCACGTGGCTGCCTGTCAACCTTCAACTTAGGTAACTACATATTCTTAAAAACAGATTTCACAATTTTCCTTAAAAAATTGAAGATTCTAGGGCCAGCCTCATGGCCTAGTGGTTAAGATCGGCACGCTCTGCTTTGGTGGCCCGGGTTCGGTTCCCGGGCGTGGACCTACACCACTCGTTAGCAGCCACACTGTGGTGGCGACTCACATACAAAATAGATGAAGACTGGCACAGATGTTAGCTCAGGGTGAATCCTCAAGTAAAACGAGGAAGATTGGCAACAGATGTTAACTCAGGACGAATCTTCCTCAGCCAAAAAAAAAAGAACTGAAGATTCTAAAACTAGTCATGAGCGGCATAACGACACTTTAGTCAACAACAAGACTGCATATACAACTGTGCCATAAGATTAATGGTGGTCCCATAAGATTAGTACCACATAGCCTAGATGTGTAGCACGCTGTACCATCTAGGTTTGTGTAAGTACTCTATGATGTTCACACAACAGAACTGCCTATTGACGCATTTCTCAGAACGTATCCCCATTGTTAAGTGATGCATGATCGTAATGTATATTCCCCAAATTTAATCTAAGCTCAGTTTTTAACTCAACTGTGCACAGTCTGACTTTGCGTAAAGGCATCAATGTCAATTTTATGAACTTTTAAAAGAGTGATTAAGAATAAAAATGAGCAATACTACACTTAAGAGACTGGACCTGACTATGCCACACACCTACCATGTAATCCTAAGCAAATCACTCCTCTAAGGTTCAGAATTACCTGGCCAAGTCCCTAAAAGCAGTGATTCTTAAACACTGCTATGCATTATAATATCTGGGAGTTTAAAAAAAAATCCCAATGCACAGGCTGCACCCCATACCAATTAAAGCAGAATCTATGGGAGCAAATCCAGGTATCAGTAGTTTTTACTTTTTTTATGTGTTTTGAAAAGGGTTTCTTTTTTTTTTTTTTGGAGGAAGAGTGACCCTGTGCTAACGTCTGTTGCCAATCTTCCTCTTCTTTCTTTTTTCTCCCCAAAGTCCCAGTACGTACAGTACATAGTTGTATATCACAGTTGTAGAGTTGTAGCTCTTCTATGTGGGATGCCACCTCAGCACGGCTTGATGGGCAGTGAGTAGGTCCGCACCTGGGATCCAAATCGGCAAACCCTGGGCCGCTGAAGCAGAACGTGCAAACTTAACTGCTATGCTACTGGGCCAGAACCAGTATTGGTAGTTTTTAAAACTCCCCAGGTGATTCCAATGTGCAATCAAGCTTCAGGACCAGGGCCTCAGAAGATTATTATAAAGATTAAAAGAGAGAACAAATGTGAAAGTACCATGCAAACTGAAAGTAGACACCACCATTCCTATTTTTTCATTCAGTCAAGATTTCAATATGTTCAATAGTTTGTTTGCACAACATTGCTTCTTACGCTTCATTCCTTTCTTCTAGGTTCATTTCCTTCTTTCTAAAGTACAATTTATAAGAGTTCTTTAAGTAATAAAACATGACTGGAAAACTCAATTTCTGTCTGAAAAATATCTTAATTTCATGCTTGCTCTTGAATGATAGTTTGACTAGATGGAGAATTCTGGACTAACAGTTATTGTCTTGCAGCATTACTCTAATATATTCTGGCCTCAATTGTAATTACTGGGAAAGTGGCTGTCAGTCTATCTGCTATTCCTCAGTAGGTAATCTGTTCCCTTAGGTTGCATTTAAGAATTCTATTTGCCTTTGTGTCCAATAGTTTCATGACAATGTGTACAAGTGGGGAAAGGGGGACACTGCTTGGATTTTGGGGATGGTTCTTTAATCTGAGGATACAGGTATTTCGTCAATTTTAGAAAATTCTCAGCCATATTTCTTTGAATATTGCTTCTCCCACATTCTCTCTAATCTTTCCTGGACAGTCCATATATACATATATGTATATGTGTGTGCACATATGTATATATGTATATGCCTGTGTACACACACACACACACATACTGAACTCTCTCATTCTATCCTCTAAATGTTCATCTTTCTTTCGTATTCTCATTTTTTATCTTTCTGTGCTGCATTCCGAACAATTTCCTCAGTATAGCGTAGTATGATTAACAGTGGCACCCTGTAGTCATATTGCATGAGTTAGAATTCTAGCTCCACCATTTACTAGCTGTGTGACTTTGGGCCAGGTTACTTAACCTGAGATTCAGTTTCTTCATTTGTAAAACAGAAAAAATAATAGTGCCATCTCCATAGGATTACTGTAAAACTTAAATGAGATAGTGTATGTTAAGCATTTATAACAGTGCCTGGTAGCTTGATTAGTAATCAATAAGTAATTATCTCTTTTTTATTTTATTGGCTGTTCTATTTAACTGAGGTTTTCTTTTTCTTTTTTTTTACTTAGAAATGTTCTCAACAAGGTCTAATTTTGGTTTACAAACTGGAATAGATGTTCTATAGTTTCCAAATTTTTTTAAAAAAAAACTTGTATTTTGAAATAATTTTAGACTTACAGAAGAGATGCAAAGATAGTATAGAGTTCCTACATAACCTTCACCAGCTTCCCCTAATGCTAACATTTTAAAAACCATGGTGTAATTATCAAGAAATTAACTAAAAATGTTAACATTGGTACAATACTATTAACTAAACTACACATTTTATTCAGATTTCCCCAGTTTTTCCACTAATATCCTTTTTCTGTTCTAGGATCTAATCCAGGACCCCACGTTGTATGTAGTCTTCATGCTTCCTCCTTTCCTTGACACTTGAAGAGTACTGGTCAGGTGGTTTGTAGTATATTCCTCAATTTGGGTTTGTCTGATGTTTTCTCATTATAGAATGAAATTATAGATTTTGAGGAATAATACCTCAGGTGATGTGCCCTTCTCATTGCATCATATCAGGGAGTATGTAACTATCAATATGTCTTATTATTGGTGATGTTAACCTTGACCACTTGGTGAAGAAGGTATCTATGTTTCTCCACTCTAAAGTTGCTACTTTTCCTTTTTCATACTCAATTCATCAGAAGCAAGTCACTAAGACCAGCCTACAGTCAAGCAGATCCATTAAGTTCTAAATTTTAATTACTGTATTTTTCATTTCTAGCAGTTCTATTTGACATTTTTATCTTAGTCATATTCTTTTCTTATGATTTTGATTTCTTCTTTTATGATCGTAATTATTTTAAATCTACTTATTTAATGGTCTTTTCAGGTATTTTTGCATTATCCAAAGTTCTGGAGCGCTAATTCTTCTGCTTGATGTATCTGCTGACTCTAGTTCACAGTGTAGTGTTTCACTGTGTGTTTTGTAATTTTGGATCATGATCTTCTCTTCAGTGGGGCGTTATATGCAGGAATCTCATAGACCTGGGTTTCATAAGTGTTCTAACAGTGCAGTTTTGCAATTGCTTCTGCCAAAAATAAAACTAGCTTGGTAATAACTTTTGTTACTTTCTAATTCTGTGGTTTCCTGGATAGTATGGGTAGTATAAATTCAGATGTAAACCTGTAGAATGTCCAGGTCGGAGGGCTTGAGTATTCAGGAGAGATTTTTGTTTTGTCTTTGTGATGATGCACAGACTTTCTGTTTTCTGGTCTATGCTTTTACTCAGTATAAAGGCTTCTGAAGGTCCTAGCTTTAAGCAGAAATCTCAGTTCAAAACCCCCGCTGGGTGGGCCCCAGTATCTCATTTCCAGTCCCCAGGTGAAAGTTGGAAATTCACAGTGTCCCACTGAGGGCAGCCACAGCATTAGCTCACGATGTTTCTTCTCCAATTTATGGCTTCCTCATTATTTATGGCATCTGAGGACTTCCCTTTATTGCAAGCTCATTTCTAGATTTGGTTTTTAAGTTTGATAGATTTACCCTGCATTTCTGAGTGTTTGTAAGAGGAAAATTTTGTTCTTTTAGTCAACTCACTTGGCAGAACCAAAAGTGTTCCCTATCTTTTGTACCAATTTATTCAGGAACAGGAAAAATGTTCTAAAAACACAGGTGTGAACTTTTCTGCCTGTTTTTCTTACTCTTTTCAATATTTCCAACAGCAAATTCTGAAGCCCCATTAAATACACTAAAGATATGATCATGGATGTCAATTAAAATCTTTTACTTTTGTTGATCTTTAGAGAAATAAAAAATTAAAGAACTTCTTAGGGCTAAGAAACTGAGTGGAATATATAAGCGAAACAGAAAAATAAGATATAGTGGAAACAGAGCTCTAGGTTAGGAATCAGGAGTTTTCGATTCAAGTCCCACTTCTATGACTAGGTAGCTGGTTGACCTCAAAGATAAAAGGTTCAATGTACTCATGGCTCTCCAACATTCTATGATTCTGTTTAATTTATAAAGACACACACAGTAGATGATGGTGTTTATGTACTTACTTGCCTTCCAATTTGTCTAGTGTTAACAAGTAAGCTCTTTGACTTTTTGGTCCACTTAACATCTTTCCAATAAGAAAATAAGTATGATTACTTGACGTTAAATATAACATTTGTGCTGGGTGCTTCTTTTGTTATTAAAATTATAAGCAGTATTGAAATATCTATTTACTTATAACTTTTAAATGCACAGTGAAAACGAGCCCTCCCACTAACTTGATATACAATTAATACAGAATTCACAACATACAAATTTATAATTATAAGAAATCAACCAGTGAACTATTTAGAACACACCACATACTAAGATGAAGGGATAAAGTAATTCACTCATTTCCAATCTAGTGTAACGATCTCTGTATATTTTTTCTAAAGTTTATACTAAGTTCCTTTGAATATGCACAAATAATTCCCTGTGCATGTATGTATGTGATTCTTAGACTTCCCACAACGGTTTATATATAAGATGAAGAGAAAAGTAAGCTTTATCTCATATTTTACCTTTTCTCTGGATCCTTTTGAAGGCACAATGAAATCATTTTTCTAAATGATTTTCCATATTTTTTTAGCATTTCTTTATCTTGAACACCAGTTTCCAAAGAAGGAGGATCATTCTGCAGTGTCAGCATTAAAACCTGTAAGAATTTTTAATATAGTAAAAGCTTCTGAAGACTCAAAGTAAAATTAAATATTGCGACCAAGATTTTCAGTATAGACAACCTCCCAACATACAAACAGATTTTATTTTCTAAAAGTTCACATCTAGACCAGTTGTTTGGAACCCAGAGTTATTTAGGTGCTTTCCACATAAATAATATCCTATAGAGAGCTGGCTTCCCAGATAGTGTGTCTGCAACAGCTCAACTGTATCAACATTTTATGTTCATTAGCTAGAACCCTTTCTTCATGTCCTCTGTCCCCATTCAGATACCGCCAAAATATCTTTAAAAACAATTAAAACCATAGCAAAATTAAGACTGTGACCTTGTTGACTTTACCTATAGCTCTGTTTCAATATGATCCCTTGTAATCTGGCCTTCTCTTCCCAGAACTCCTCAGAAATTTCTATCAAAGAAATCACTGATGATGTCCTAGTTAATAAAGCTACAGTCTTTCTAGTTCTCATTCTTCCTACCTTCCCTGCAGCAACTGACAATCTTGATTAGTTTGTCCATCCTAAATCTGTTCCTTCTTTGACTTTCACATCATGGCTTGATGCATAGGGATGTAAGTAATGAAGATCATATTTATGTCGTGGGATTTTGGGTGATTTGTGTTTTTCTACACTTGTTTGACTTTTTATAAAAGCATAAGCCATTTTGCTAAACACAAAGTCAACATTAAAAAATAAAGGGGGTGGGCTGGTCCCACGGCCTAGTGGTTAAGTTCGGCACACTCTGCTTTGGCGGCCCAGGTTCGGTTCCTGGGCATGGACCTATACCATTCGCTGGCAGCCGTGCTGTGGCAGCAACCCACATACAAAATAGAGGAAGACTGGCACAGGTGTTACGTCTGGGCGAATCTTCCTCAAGCAAAAAGAGGAAGATTGGCAACAGATGTTAGCTCAGGGTGAATCTTCCTCAGCCAAAAACAAGTAAATAAATAAATAAATAATAATAAAAAAAATAAAAGCGGGCTATAATCAAAATTATTACTTGCTTTTCAGAGGGTGAATCTTCCTCAGCCAAAAGTAAATAAATAAAAAATAATAAAAGGGGCCTATATTCAGAATTATTACTTGCTTTTCAGATTCAATTTATATTTACTGAAATAGAATTACTAAGGTTGCTGATCTTCCTCATTTTGAGCAAACAGGTTAACATGTATGTCTGGCTACAATTGCAGGAATCATTGCCTACAACGGATCCTCTCCCCTCCCTTTTTAAAAATAAGCCATTTCTTTGGCCCAAAAATAGCCTCCCACCTTACAGTTATAAAAAAAATCCTTTTCAAAACCTTGTGAATACCCATTTACTCCTAGGAGTCTTCAAACTTTAGGAAAACTAGGGGCTTAAAATATAACTAACTTTTCATATAATCAAAATTTCACCCAAACGCAGGTCAATATACATACGCTTTGAATATGGAGATATAGAGAGGTTTTTCATAATAGCCTTTTACTGGTTTTGTCCCTCTCTACATTGTTAGAGCCTTAAACGGGGCAGAAAATATCTTTTAAAGGTTCTAGAGTGCACCAAGATCATAGAGATGTCAATAATATCAATATGACAATTCACAATGACGGTCGCTATTTTAAACAGTCATAGGGCATCTTGCAAAATGGGCAAACAGAACTATAAACAACAGCTATAGCTACAAACAGAGAAAAGAATTCACGTGCATATTATAACTAAGGGGTCACATAGATAAAAATGGTCACCAACAGTATTGGCAGCACTATCTTGAAAGACAAAAAACTCATTCTGTTACTAATGTTGGGGACAGAATTAACAACTGCATTTCAGGTAACTACTACATCAGGATATAATAATAGGCCTTTTAATAAAAGCGGGTTAGTGTTCTACCACAAAGCAAACTTTTATTTGAACTTTTATTCAATAATAACAAGAATAATACATACATGTGGCACATGAACACTTTGCATGAATTATCTTATTTAATATATGATAAGCACTTAAAACATCGCCTGGCACAGATAAGTGCTCAATGAATGTTAGCTATAAACACCATTAATATGTAACCCTTTCAACAACGTTATGAAGTAGAAATGATCATCACCCCCACCGAGGCTGTTCTACACAGGTGACTGTGTGGAACGCACACTAAAATGAGAGACATTAGATCCTAATATCAAAGTAGTTACACAGTTAGGAGATGGAGAGTCATCATACAAAAAGGTCAATTACAATGTAAAGTGAGCCAATGCTAAATACCAAATATCTAATACAGATTTTTTTTTTTTTTTTTTTAAGATTTTATTTTTTATTTATTTTTTCCCTCCAAAGCCCCAGTAGATAGTTGTATGTCATAGCTGCACATCCTTCTAGTTGCTGTCTAATACAGATTTTAACTGCCACAGGAATTAGAAAGAATGTAAGGCAGAATTCTATGGATAAGAATGTCAAATGAAGAAAGGCTCTCAAAAGGAACTGGGACATGAGCTGGGGTAGTATTTTGTATACGAGCCTCACCTTCATTGGCGGATATTTATGATAAGGAGCTGCCCCTGTGGCCAGTTCAATCGCTGTGATCCCAAAACTCCAAATGTCAGCTTTGAAATCATAACCTCGGACCTGCAAAGAACAGAGAGATGATTACTTTTACCATCCTAAAAGCACTTGTTTTGGTGAGGAAAATTGGCCCTGAGCTCATATCTGTTGCCAGTCTTCCTCTTTTCACTGAAGAAGACTGGCCCTGAGCTAACATCTCTGCCCATCTTCCTCTATTTTGTATGTGGGATGCCACCACAGTATGGCTTGGTGAGTGGTGCACAGGTCCGCATCCAGGATCCAAACCTGCAAACCCTGGGCCGCCCAAGCGGAACACACAAACTTAACCACTATGCCATCAGGCCGGCCCCTAAAAGCACTTTTTAAAGGTAGCTTCTAATATGTATCAGGAACCATAAAAGTGTTCATAAGCTTTAAACCAGTAAGATAAACTAAAGTAGACAAAAGGTAAATATACTTGGTAAGAGCAAAAACAAAAAAAAAGGGCAACCTGAATGAATGTTCACCAACAATGGGGAAATTGTTAAGTATGGTATATTCACTTCAAGAAATTCACAGTCAAGTAAAAGCAATGTTAATGAATTCTATATGAAAATATGAAAAAACACTTGTGATAAAGCACTTATGAAAGAAAGAATACAAAATTGTTCATAAATTTTGATACTAATACAAATAGGTATATAGTCTATTTAAAAAAAAATAGAACAAAATGTTAAGCAATGGTGGTGAGTCTTTTGTTTTCCAAATTTTCTATGTTATAGTATTGTTTTACCACTTTAATTTTTATAGTGAAAAAAGTTACAAAGGGTGTGAATATTTTTAAAGTTGTTGCTGTGAATATGTTGCCAAATTTCTCTCCTTTTATACGGTCACCAGCACACTATCCTAAGCAATAGAGGAGGAGGAATAGGTTTTGGGAGTGTGTGGTTTGAGACCTAAAATTAAAGCTCCATATTATGTGCTGCCTTGACACCTGGTAAACAGGAGGGCCTCTAATGACCTAAGCACAAGTCCCCCCACCTGCCACCCTGCTCCCAAGGATAAAGTCTCCTAGATCAAGAACCCTTATCAAATGGACCAGGTGCAGTTCCTGCTTATCCCTGAGTAGCAGGGTTCAGTTCCCTGACAGCCCTCAGAATTATTCAAACAACCCAGTCACACCCTCACAAGGAAACCAAGGGGCAACTCACTCTCTTGATACTACAAAGCCTGTCTTCCACAGCAACCATTTGTTCACTCTCTTCCTGAGTACAAACTTGTGTGGCATGCAGTGCCCTCCTGCCCCCAGCTATGTGTATATGCAACTAATAAACTACTGTCAATCTCATCAGTCCAGTATCAGGTGTTGTGTGTGCAGCCATCCCCATAACCCTAGGGTAGGAATCCTTCCCTCACCCACAGGGTGAATATAGGTACTACAACAGAGTGAAAAGTGAATTCAGTTCTACACACTGAGTTTGATATACCTATAAGACATTTATGTAAAACATCTATAGGGAGTTGGAAATATCTATGTAGAGGCTTAGGAAACAAGACTGGACTGGACAAAATTTATAAATAATTAATAGGTAGGAAGCAGAGATGAAAATATCTAGTGAGTATGTGTAGTCAGAGAAGAGGAGTTTAAGAACAAGATCCTGGGAAGCAGTGTCATTTAGCAGTAAGAAGGAAAGCCAGAAAAGAAGTCAGAGAAATGACTGAGAAGTAGGAGACAAATGAGGAAACTACACTAGGAAAGCTAAGAAAGTGAGTAAAGGTGGAAATGGTCAAGAGTTTCAAATGCCCTGAAGAGGGAAATAAGACAAGGAATAAAAAATGAGCACTCGATTCGAGAATTAGCAGATGGGATGAGTGTCAACAGCTTGAAATTGTTTGAGAGCAAATGCAAAATGGGGATGTGGAGAAAACTAGTCCTTCGGGAACCACAGCAATGAAATGACAAGTAAAAAGATTAGATCATTTAATTTGTACTAAGGAAATTATTAAAAAACCAATCTTGATAATATCATTCCTTAGGTTGTCTTCGGTATAAATCCTGAGTTTCATACATCCTTTGTAAAGTTCTAGGGTTTTTTTTTTTTTTTTTAAGGGTGGATCAAATTCTTCATGAAGCAACAGAGATGTGTACTTCCCAAAGCTAACCTAGTATACCAAACAAAAGCAAACACTACTCAGATTTGTCAATTTGATAACAAAATCCTAAACCATTTTAAAAAGACAAAAGATAGTACCTGTTCCATAACTTCAGGTGCCATCCAACAAGGGGTTCCAACAAAGGTCTTTCTCACTTTATTTCGGGTAATATCACCACCAGTTGCTAAAAAAGCACTAACTCCAAAATCTGAAATAGAATACAATAGCAAGGTACTACAAGTACAGTAACTAACATAAATAGATAGGAAAATAAATGTAGTTACAGTTCTATATACAAACAGCATGGCGTTTTCTCTTCTTTCTGACGAACTTCTTGACTAAATTAAGATGTAGCTTAACAGGTCCCTCATTCTATTCCTCTCCACTCCCACCCAACATCATCTCCTCAGATTTTCCTCCTTGCTCCAATCCATTCTTTTCATTTCATCTTCCCAAACTGAAACTCTATACTCATTAAACAATAACTCCTCATTGTCCCCTCTCCCCAGTCCCTCGTAACCACCATTCTACTTTCTGTCTTCATGATTTTGACTACTCTAAGTATGTCATGTAAGTAGAATTAAACAGTATTTGTCTTTTTATAACTGGCTATTCACTTAGCATAATGTCCTTAAGGTTCATCCATGCAGTAGCATATGTCAGAATTTCCTTCCTTTACAGTCTGAATAATATTCCATTGTATGTATATACCACATTTTGTGTATTCATTCATCCATTGATGGACACCTGGGCTGCTTCCATGTTTTAGCTATTGTGAATAATGCTGTCATGAAAATGGGTATGCAAATATCTGTTTGAGTCCCTGCTTACAGTTCCAGAAGTGGAATTGCTGGATCATATAGTATTTTTATACCTAATTGTTTAAGGAACTGCCATACTGTTTTCCACAGCAGCTGTACCATTTTATATTCCCACCAAAAGTGAACAAGGATTCTGATTTCTCCACATCCTTCTTATTTTCTGTTTTTTTGATAGTAGCCATCCCGACGGGTGTGAGGTGGTATCTCCTTGTAGTTTTGATTTGCACTGCTCTGATGATTAGTGATGCTGAGTATCTTTTCACGTGCTTATTGGCCATTTGTACATCTTTGGAGAAATGTCTGTTCAAGCCCATTTTTTAACTGATTTTTTTTACTGTTGTTTTTAGGAATTCTCTATATATTCTGGGTATTATTAGTTCCTTATCAGATATATGACTTACAAATACTTTCTCCCATTCTGTGGGCTGCCTTTTTACTCTGTTGGTAGTATCTTTTGATGCACAAAAATTTTTAATTTTCATTAAGTCCCATTTATCTATTTTTTCTTTTGTTGCCTGTGCCTTTGGTGTCATATCCAAGAAATCATTGTCAAATCCAATGTTGTGAAGCTTTTGCCTTATGTTTTCTTCTAAGAGTTTTACAGTTTTAGATCTTACATTTAGGTATTTGATCCATTTAGAGTTAATTTTGTATACGGTGGTCGATAAGGGTCCAACTTCATTCTTTTGCATGGGGATATCCAGTTTCCCCAGCAACACTTGGTAAAAAGACTGTCCTTTCCCCAATTAAATGGTCTTGGTACCCCTGTCAAAATCATTTGACTATATATGCAAAGGTTTATTTCTGGGCTCTTTTCTATTACATTCGTCTCTATGTCTTTCTGCCAATAACATACTATTTTTATTACTGTTGGTTTGCAGTAAGTTTTGAAAACAGGAAGTATTAATCCTTCAGCTTTTCTTGTTCTTTTTCAGGATTGTTTTGGCTATTTGAGCTTCCTTGAGATTCCATGTGAATTTTGGGATAGGTTTTTCTATCTCTGAAAAAAACAAAGTCATTGGGCTTTTGATAGGGATTGCACTGAATCTGTAGATTACTTTGGGTAGTATTGACATTTTAACAATTAGCCTTCCAATCCATGAACATGGGATGTGTTTCTATTTATCTTCTTTAATTTCTTTCAGCAATGTTTTATAGTTTTCACTGTACAAGTCTTTCACTCCTTGGTTAAGTTAACTCCTATGTATTTTATTCTTTTTGATGCTACTTGTAAATGAAATCGCTTTTGTAACTTCCTTTTCAAATTGTTCCTTGTTCATGTATAAAATGCAACTGGATCTTTATGTGTTGACTTTATATCCTACTTTGCTAAATTCATTTATTAATTAAAATAGTTTTTATGGAATGTTTAGTGAGTTTTCTATATATAAGATCATATAATCTGCAGACATAATTTTACTTCTTTCTTTCCAGTTTGAATATTTTTTATTTCTTTTTCTTGCCTAATTGTCCTACAACTTCCAATACTATATTGAATAGAAGTGGCAAAAGTGGACATCATTGCCACTGTGTTCCTGAACTCAGAAGAAAAGCTTTCAGTTTTTCATCATTGAGTATGATGTTCATTGTGGGTTTTCCATGTATGGCTATTTAGTAAGTTGAGGAAGTTTCCTTCTATTTCCTACTTTTTTACATGTTTCTATCATGAAAGGATGTTAAATTTTCTCAAATGTTTGCCCTGCATTGAGATGATCATGTGGTTTTTTTCCCCTTCATTCTGTTAATGTGGTGTAGTACATGGATTTTCATATGTTGAACCATCCTTGCATTCCCAAGGAAAAAAATCTCACTTGGTCATGGTATATAAATCCATCTAATATGCTACTGAATTCATTTCTTTAGTACTTTGCTAAGAATTTTTGCATCAATGTTCATAAGGGATATTGGTCTGTAGTGTTCTTTTCTTGTGTGTCCTTGTCTGGCTTTTGGTATCAGGTCAATACTGGCCTCATAGAATGAGTTAGGAAATGTTCCTTTCTCTTCAATTTTTGGGAAAACTTTGAGAAAGATTGTTATTAGTTGTTCTTTAAATGTTTAGTAGAATCCACCAGTGAAACCACCAGATCCAGGGCTTTTCTTTGTCAGGAGACTTTTGATTGCTGATGCAATCTCCTATATTAGATATAGGTCAACGCAGATTTTCTATTTTGTTGTGATTTCATCTTGGTAGGTTTTGTGTTTCAAGGAATTTCTCCATTTCATCTAGGTTATCCAATTTGTTGCTGTATAATTGTTCATAATACTCTTATAATCCATTTTATTTCTGTAGAATTGGTAGTAATGTCCTGACTTTAGTTTCTGATTTTAGACATTTGACTCTTCTCTCTTCTTTACTTAGTCCATCTAGCTAAAGGTTTGTAAATTTTGGTGATCTTTCAAAGAACCAGTATTTGGTTTCACTGATTTTCTCCATTGCTTTCTATTCTCCATTTCCTTTATCTCTGCTTTAAACTTTATTATTTCCTTCCTTCTGCTAGCTTTGAGTTCAGTTTCTTGTTTTTCTAGTTCTTTAAGCTGTAAAGTTAGGTTTTTAATTTTCTATCATTCTTGTATTTTAAAAGTGTCCATAGCTATAAATTTGCCGCTTAGCAACACTTTTGCTGTTTCCCCTAAGTTTTAGTATGGTTATGATTTCATTTTCATTCCTCTCAAGTATTTTCTAATTTCTCTTACGATGTCTTCCTTCATCCACTGGTTTGTCTAAGTGTGTGTTTAGTTCCCACAAAGTTGTGAATTTTCTAGTCTTACTTCTGTTATTGATTTCTAACTTTATCTCATTGTGGTCAAAGAAGATACTTCGTATGATACCTATCTTTTAAAATCTACTGAGACTTAATTTGTGGCCTAAAATATGGTATACCCTGGAAAAAGCCCCTTGTACACTTGAGAATGTGTATGCTGTTCTTGCTGGGTAGAGTGTTCTGAATATGTCTCTTAGATCTAGTTGGTCAATGTCTTGTTTAAGTCCTCTATTTACTTATCTTCTCTCTGTTTGTTCTATCCATTATTGAGAGCGGAGTACTGAAGTCTCCAACTACTATTGTAGAGATGTCTATTTTTCCCTTCAGTTCTGTCAGTTTTTGCTTCGTGTATTTTGCCGGTGTGTTATTAGGTGAATGAATATTTATAACTGTTATATCTTCTTGCTGTATTGAATATGTAATGTACTTCTTTGTCTCTTATAACCTTTTTTGATTTAAGTCTATTTTGTCTGATATTGGAATAGCCACCTCTGCTCTCTTTTGGTTACTATTTGCATGGAGTATATTTTTCCATGCTTTCATTTTCAATCTACTTATGTCTTTGGATCAAAAGCGAGTTCCTTATAGACAGATATAATTGGATCATGTGTTTTTATCCAATCTGCCAATCTGTGTTTTTTGACTGGAGAGTTAATCCATTTATATTTAAAGTAATTACTGATAAGGAGGGACTTAATTTTGTCACTATTATTTGTTTTCTATATGTCTTATAGCTTTTTTGTCCCTCATTTCCTGCATTACTTATTTTGTGTTTAGTTGATTTTTTGTTGTGAAATCCTTAAATTTTTTTCTCATTTCCTTTTGTTTATATTCTATCGCTATTTTCTTTGTGGGTATCATAGGGATTACATTTACCATTCTAAAGTTATAACACTCCAATTTGAATTTATACCAGGTTAACTTCAATAACATACAAAAACTCTTCTCCTTCACAGCACTGTTCCCACCCCTTTTGGTTGTAGATGTCACAAAATTACATCTTAATACACTGTGTGCTCAAAAACATGAGCTGATAATTCTTTTAAGAGCATTAGTCTCTTAAATTATGTAGAAAATAAGAGTTGGAATTACAAACCAATGTTACTGTAATACTAACTTTTAGACCAATAATTGTTTTTAGTAATGTATTAGTCTCATAAATCATGTAGAAAACAAAACATGGAGTTACAAACCTTTGTTACAATAATACTAGCTTTTATACTTGCCCATGTATTCACCTTTATTGAGACCTTTATTTCTTCATACCGTATGGAGTTATTATCTAGTGTCTTTTCATTGCACCTTGCAGGACTCCCTTGAGCATCTCTTGCGAGGCAGTTCTAGTAAAACAAATTCCCTGAGCTTTTGTTTATCTGGAATGTCTTAATATATCCCTCACTTTTGAAGGACAGTTTTACTGGCTATAGGATTCTTGGTTGACAATTTTTTTCTTTGAGCACTTTGAATATCTTGGCCCACTGCCTTCTGGCCTCCAAAGTTTCTGATAAGAAATCTGCTGACAACCTTATTGAGAACCCCTGTATGTGATGTGTTCTCTCTTGCTGCTTTCAAGATTCTTTGTCTTTGGCTTTCATAAGTTTGATTATAATGTGTCTCTGTGTGAGTCACCTAGGGTTCATCTTGGAGATTGTTGAGCTTCTTGGATGTTTATATTCATGTCTTTCAGCAAATCTGGAAAGTTTTCGGCCATTATTTCTTCAAATATGCTCTCTGCCCGTTTCTCCTTTCTCCTTCTGGGTGTCCCACAGTGTGTATGCTGGTCCACTTAATGGTGTCCAACAGGTCCCTCAGGCTCTGTTCACTTTTCTTCAATCTTTTTCCTTTCTGCTCTTCCGACTGGATAACTTCCATTTTCCTATCTTCAAGTTCACTAATTCTTTCTTCTGCCAGCTCAAATATGCATTTGAATCCTCCTAGTGAGTTTTTCATTTCATAGTACAAGTTGTACCTTTTAGCTCCAGAATTTCTTTTTGGTTTCTTTTTAGGTTTTCTCTTTATTGATAGATCCATTCTGTTCACACATCGTTTTCTTGAGTTTCTCCATATCCTGCTTTAGTTCTCTGAACAACTTGAAGATGGTTGTTTTAAAGTCTCTGTCTAATAGATCTGCCATCAGTCTTTTTCCGTGAGTTTCTGTTGATTTATTTATTTCCTTTGAATAGACCATACTTTCCTGTTCATTGAAAGCCTTGTGATTTTTTTTGTTGAAAACTGGACGTTTGAATCTAATAATATTGTAACTCTGGAAATCAGATTCTCCTGCTTTCCCAGGGTTTGCTGTTTTTTGTTATTGGTTTTGTTTTTTTTTGATTGCTGTAGGCTGTCTGTGTCAAGCATCACCCAGAGGTATAAACTTTAGGTCTTCTCAGATCTCTTCTGCATCTTTCTCTGGGCATGTACAGTCACTTTCCAATTTTCCCTGTAAGTGTAGTTGTTTTTTAATGCCCTAGTCTTTAACGTCTAGCTTCAAAATGGGGAAAAAGAGAAAAATGTAGTGAAGGAAAAAAGGCACTGGCCTATTAAGTCCCCTGGAAGTCACTTGTCGGGGTGGCAGCAAGGTGCCAGAACAATGGCTGCCCGCCTCTTTGTCTGTCCCCCAGGACAGCAGCAGATCTCTATCACCTCTCTATAGAACATTTATTCTTAAACATAATGAGGTTTCTTGACTACTTCTCCTTTAAAGGAAAGTAGAGAATGCTTATGAGAACCAATAGAGGAAGACCCTAATGAGGGTAAGGAGTGGATAACTAGAAGGTAATGAGTAATGGTCATAAAAATGTCTAAGAACAAAAATGAATGATGAGTAGTGGAAGATATCTTGAGAGTCAGCAGCAATGTGCCAACATAGGATGCTTGACTAGAGATGGTCCAGGGAACAGAAGAGAAAACTGACTTAAAAAACACAAAAGATAAGTAATATGGTTCTATTGACCATTAAATAAAAATAAAAAGAAATACTAATCATTACCTGCAATCTGTACTGAGCCATCTTCTCCAAGAAGAATATTTCCAGCTTTCACATCTCTTTAAGGAAAAAAAAGTTATATATTAAAATACATCTATTCTTTGAAGTCACATAATTTAAGCAATTGCTTACTATATTCATACAACACTGGCAATACTTAAATGCTCTATTTTGCATTAAAGGGTATTATGAAGGCCAAGAGTAAAATTTTGAAAATTTTAATCACTTGCACTAGAATCCAAATATTGTAAACAGAAAGGTACAATAACTTTTTACTATAAAATCTAGAAAACCCAAGGTGATTAAAAACTCAATTAGGATAATAGTGGCCAAAGAATATGACCCTCACCCACTTTCACCTAATTCTACTCTTTGAAATATATTTTTTTCCTGCACCCTACACGTACATTTCATATATGATCAAAATTTTTAAATGGTCAGTATGTAGTTGAAAACAGGGACTATCCTATGCCTGTAGCATAAAGAGAGACATAAATTATTCAAACACCTCTATATTTTTATTGGTAACTATTAATAACAAGTCTAGTAATACACAAATACATTCTTGTTATAAAAACCTGAACATCACTAAAAAGGCCCAAGTCCCTTTGACTACCATGCTCAAGTTTAGTGTTCTCTCCAAAGTTTTCAACCATTGTCAGTCTGGCTAATAGAATATGTTCCTGTGAGATATCTGGGCTTTTCTTCCAACATAAATGATGTTATACTATCCATTCAAATCTACAACTTGTTTTTCTCATGCAACAATGTGTTAGTAGTATCTGGCAAAATTTAAAATCCCTAAATCTTATGAGTAGCAAACCTACTTCTTGATAACCTAGAGAAACTCACAATGTACAGGGAATGTAGAAGGGCGTTCCCTGCAGCATTATTTGTAATAAGAGACCCAAAATGGTAAGAACCTAGAAAGCTAACAATAGCAGAAAGGTTCAACTAATGCTGTTACAGTCATGTACCGCATAACTATGTTTTGGTCAACAATGGACCGCATATATGACAGTGGTCTCATAAGATTAGTACCACATATATAGCCTAGAGGTGTACTAGGCTGTACCATCCAGGTTTGTGTAAGTACTGCAGGGAAGGAAGAAATTTTCCTCTACCCTTCTAGGTTCTTCTGGCTGGTCTAAGAATTAAATAGACATGAGACAGATTAAGTAGAGAAAAACATACAAAAGTTTAATAACATATATACATGGAAGAAACCCAGGAAAATCAAATAACTCACCAAATTTGCCAAAGCCTTCACCTTAAATACCATCCTCAGCTAAAGACAAGGGAAGATGTTGAGAGTGAGGAGAGTTAGGGACTTCAAAGGGAAGGAAGGCAATTCATAGGTAGGTGAAAAGGAGCAGACAATTGGAAAACTAGTGTTCAGCCACATGGAAACAGAAGAACACAGAGGGGAGCCCAACAAACAGTCTCTTCTAGGTTTCTCTCTGTTTACCACCTAGATCACGTTATGCTAAGGTGATAGCTCGCTTCCTGAGACAGGTTTTTTAATCTGAATTCTTTTAGGCAGTTAAGGGGGGAGATAAGAAAAACTCTGATTCTTTTGTTTCTTAAAAATAATTAGCCTAAAATAATCCTCATGTTGAAGTGACACATCCTGGGGTGGCAAATTTTGCCCCCCCTCAGTACACTCTATGATCTTCGCACAATGAAATCTCCTAACAGTGCATTTCTCAGAACGTATCCTCGTTGTTAAATGAGGCATGACTGTACATCCATGAGATGCAATAAGGTCAATCAACATGTTATGACTTGAAATGCCTTCTAATACATACTGCTAAGTGAACAAATCAAATAGGACAGTGCCTTTTGCATGAAACCGTTAATGTTACACACACACACACACACACACACACACACCCTTTTCCATAATACACCAAACAGAGAGCAATAAATGGTTCTTTTTGTGGAGAGGAGTGGGATTGGAGTCAAGGGGAATGATGTTTCAATAGCTTGTGGGAATGGACTCATCTATTTATTTTGTAATTAAAAATAAACACAATTAAACAAACAAAAGAGAGCCAGCTCTTGAAGCTAGACAAGAAAGAAAAGCAAGAACAGCTCATGGAAGACCTTGTTTGTCATGAAAAGGAACCAGTGAGAAGCACAACACTCCATCTTTTCCGTGTCCCTATCTTCTTTTCCTCCATTTTTAGATATAATCATTCCTTGGTAAACAATGAACAACAGTTTCACAACTATGTGTAGCAGCAGCACCATACCAGAGTATATAACACCTTTCCTGAACATATACTAAAGCAAAGGAAATCATGTTACTCAGTACTTTTGTGCTGCTTATAAATCCAAGCAATTTACAGGACATTTTCCCAGAGGCTGACTTACAGTGGAGGCTGACTTACAGTGGAGGCTGACTTACAGTGGAGGCTGGCTCACTTTGCTCTATAAACCAGAAGTCTCTGATTCTAAATACCACGAACAGGAGAGAACTGAGGACATTCCCTTCCCTTAGTGACCAAGACCATTCAACTGAGTTAATTATAAACCTTCAACTCCTTTTTCTGAGCTCATTTGGAATGACATCTAAAACAATGGAAAAAACAATGTATAGTTTAGTCACTTCCTCCTCTGTGTTTTTGCAGCTGGCTGTAATATAGAGTCACCACAGATTACAGAAATATGATCATATTTCTGGGTCTGTCTCTCTCATTTCACCACGAGCCATATCTGGGCATATTTTTTTTTTTTTTTTGCTTGAGGAAGATTCACCCTGAGCTAACATCTGTGCCAGTCTTCCTCTATTTTGTATGTGGGTTGCTGCCACAGCATGGCCGCCAATGACTCATGTAGGTCTGCGCCCGGGAACCGAACCCAGGCCACCGACGCGGAGTTAACCACTAGGCCACGGGGACAGCCCTTGGACATACATCTTAATACATTTCTGTACCACCTGCACTTACTTAGTATTATGATTAGTACATAGGAGGCATCTCCCACATATTCATCAAATAGATTTTTTTTTTTGGTGAGGAAGATGAATCCTGTGCTAACATCTATTGCCAATCCTCTTCTTTTTGCTGAGGAAGATTGGCCCTGGGGTAACATCTGTGCTCATCTTCCTCTATTTTATATGTGGGACATCAGCCCCAGCATGGCTTGATGAGTGGTGCACAGATCCACGCCCGGGATCCGAACCCACAAACCCTGGGCCCCCGGAGCAGAGCACACAAACTTAACCACCACACCACTGGGCCGGCCCCTCATCAAATAGATTTTAATAACTAAATAGGAGACAACCTGCCTCAAATCCTCTTATGGAGATAAGTGGAGTATTAAATAAATGAACGAATAAATAAATAAATCCAATTAAACACTAAAATAAAACTTGATGGTTTCTGGAGAGGAGTATCAAACCAATCAATCAATCAATCCAAATAAATACCAAAATGAAACTTGACTGTTACTTCCCCGCCATTCCAACCCCCAAGTCCCACCTGCTAGCTCTGTTCCAAACATTAGGGTTATAAACTAATAGGCTGCAGTTAAATAGGACAACCTAACAATCCATCAGTGGGAGACCAATTAAACTGTGGTATATCTATATAATGAAATACTATGAATACTAATTATGAATAGTAATGAATAGATGTGTTAATATGGAACAATCTCCAAATATATTCTTAAGTGAAATAAGAATACTACATATAGTATGTTGCCATTTGTTGTTGTTTTTTTTAAAGTAGGAGGGAGAGGGATATATACATTACATTTATATTAGTATAAAATCTCTCTCAAAGGAGTCTCAAGAAAATAGCAAGAAGTGGTTCCCTTTAGACCAGGGTACCAGAGGTTCAAGGAAGGAATACACTCAGTCATGCATTGCTTAATGACGGGAGCACATTCTGAGAAATACGTCATTAGGCAATTTTGTCGTTGTGCAAACATCACAGAGTGTACTTACACAAACCTTGATGGTCTAGCCTACTACACACCTAGGCTATATGGCACTAATCTTATGGGACCACCATTGTATATGTGGTCTGTTGTTGATCGAGATGTCGTTATGTGGCACACAAATGTACTTTATTTTTTAGAAGTTTTAGATTTACATAAAAATTGAAAGACAGTGCAGGGGAGTTCTCATACACCTTGCACTCAGTTTCTCCTATTATTAACATCTTACATCAGTATGGTACTTTTGCTACAATTAATGAACCAGTACTGATGCATTACTACTAATTGAAGTCCACAATTTATTCAGATTTTTTAAGTTTTTACCTAATGTCCTTTTTCTGTCCCAGGATCCTATCCAAGATACCACATTAAATTTAGTCATCATGTCAGGCCTCCTTAGGCTCCTCTTGTCTATGACAGTTTCTTAGACTTTGTTTTTGATGACCTTGACAGTTTTGAGGAATAATGGTCAAGTATTTTGCAGGATGCCCCTCTGATGGAATTTGTACGATATTTTCCTCATGATTAGACTGGTGTTATGAGTTTTCAGAAGGAAACCACAGAAGTGCCATTTTCATCACATCACATCAAAAATACATAGTATCAGCATGATTTAGCACAGTTGATATGGAGAAGACTTGTTTTTTATCATATGCCATTTTGTGTCATTTGAATTTTTTAAGCCATGTACATGTATTACCTATTCAAATGTTTTCTAAGTTTTTGTCTCTCATAAGTGAGGAGACAATAATCTATTTTCAGTAGAGCCCACCTTTGGGTGACTACTTTTCCTGACCAATTCCCTAGATAATCAATTGATGCTTCCCTTTGAAACCAAAAGTACAATCTGTAGAACAGCTTCCAGGAGTAAAAGCAGAGGAATATCATGAAGCTAAATGGCTCACTGGACAATCAAACACACCACAGCCTGTCCTCACAAACAACAGGACAACTGACCTTTCAAGGAAAAGATGTGCAACTAAATATCTGGAAATCAATATAGTCCTTAATTAAAGAATCTTTTTTACTCTGCCACAAAGAATATCAAGCAACCCAGCAGCCCCAACAGTTAAACCCTCAATCCACTCTTAAACAGCAAGAACAGTGAGTTTTG